CAGTGTTAGGTTGTACCATACTGGTCAGGTGTTAATGTTAGGTTGTACCATACTGGTCAGTGTTAGGTTGTACCATACTGGTCAGGTGTTAATGTTAGGTTGTACCATACTGGTCAGTGTTAGGTTGTACCATACTGGTCAGGTGTTAGGTTGTACCATACTGGTCAGTGTTAGGTTGTACCATACTGGTCAGTGTTAGTGTTAAAGTTGTACTATACTGGTCAGTGTTAGGTTGTACCATACTGGTCAGGTGTTAATGTTAGGTTGTACCATACTGGTCAGTGTTAGGTTGTACCATACTGGTCAGTGTTAGTGTTAAAGTTGTACTATACTGGTCAGTGTTAGGTTGTACCATACTGGTCAGGTGTTAATGTTAGGTTGTACCATACTGGTCAGTGTTAGGTTGTACCATACTGGTCAGTGTTAGGTGGTACCATACTGGTCAGTGTTAGGTTGTACCATACTGGTCAGTGTTAGGTTGTACCATACTGGTCAGTGTTAGGTTGTACCATACTGGTCAGTGTTAGGTTGTACCATACTGGTCAGTGTTAGGTTGTACCATACTGGTCAGTGTTAGGTTGTACCATACTGGTCAGTGTTAGGTTGTACCATACTGGTCAGTGTTAGGTTGTACCATACTGGTCAGTGTTAGGTTGTACCATACTGGTCAGTGTTAGGTTGTACCATACTGGTCAGTGTTAGGTTGTACCATACTGGTCAGTGTTAGGTTGTACCATACTGGTCAGTGTTAGGTTGTACCATACTGGTCAGTGTTAGGTTGTACCATACTGGTCAGTGTTAGGTTGTACCATACTGGTCAGTGTTAGGTTGTACCATACTGCTCAGGTGACATCATAGATAAGACCTGAAGTATTAACAGAGATCTGTAAAACTGGCCCATCATCTGTTAGCTAGACAGATAATCAGAATACTGCTGAAATCTGTAACATAGGTTATGATCACTTAAGACATACAACAGTATTGAACTCTCTAGCTACAGTTTTGCAGGTTTTGATGTCCCTGTCATTTTATTGGGATATAGTTTGCTGCTATTCATACCCCCGCTTGTCTCTATTCAGTGTCATTTCTCCTGTCACAATATCTCAGTCATTAAGGTTCTGGATGGTGAAGATGTGACCTGAATGGCTTGATCCCTACTCAGGGTATATTTCACAGGAAGCTAAATGCTTGTGTTCTTGGCACTTGATTATACTTACTCTATATATATTGGACCTTCTGTATGGTGTTCAGGTAGGAAGTTGCCAGCTGCTGTAAGGAGACTCAGATTGACTGTTGAAAGGGTGATGAACCAAGTAAACAAACAGTTATCCCTTCAGCTACTTCATTTACTTCATTACATAGATTAGGTCAGATTTTAAGAAAAGTTTGAGAAAAACATTTAAGTTTGGAGGTCAGGGTTGCTATTACTGTTGATGGCTGAAGAGTTTGGCCGTTGATGGCTGAAGAGTTTGGCTGTTGATGGCTGAAGGGTTTGGCCGTTGATGGCTGAAGGGTTTGGCCGTTGATGGCTGAAGAGTTTGGCTGTTGATGGCTGAAGATTTTGGCTGTTGATGGCTGAAGATTTTGGCTGTTGATGGCTGAAGATTTTGGCCGTTGATGGCTGAAGAGTTTGGCCGTTGATGGCTGAAGGGTTTGGCCGTTGATGGCTGAAGGGTTTGGCCGTTGATGGCTGAAGGGTTTGGCCGTTGATGGCTGAAGAGTTTGGCTGTTGATGGCTGAAGATTTTGGCTGTTGATGGCTGAAGATTTTGGCTGTTGATGGCTGAAGATTTTGGCCGTTGATGGCTGAAGAGTTTGGCCGTTGATGGCTGAAGGGTTTGGCCGTTGATGGCTGAAGGGTTTGGCCGTTGATGGCTGAAGAGTTTGGCTGTTGATGGCTGAAGAGTTTGGCTGTTGATGGCTGAAGATTTTGGCTGTTGATGGCTGAAGAGTTTGGCTGTTGATGGCTGAAGAGTTTGGCTGTTGATGGCTGAAGAGTTTGGCTGTTGATGGCTGAAGATTTTGGCTGTTGATGGCTGAAGAGTTTGGCTGTTGATGATAATTTCAGTTGATGCAATATTTTCATCTTCCTCATTATAATACACACATGCACATATATTGATTAAATTTTTTAATCAGCTGCCATTGAGGTTCTATCAAAGTGTAAAATAATGTACAGAGGTACACTGAAGTGAGCTAAGAGAAAATGTCTACAGAAGTACCACATTATGAAGGCTTTTATGGTGGGTGGGGGGGGACAGTCAAAATCTGATTGTGTACTATTTGATGTAACTAGGTGAGAAAAATTACACCTAAGATATTGACTAGTTAATATGTTTATGTGGCTGTTATAGAGACATCAGTGTAGGGATTTGACTGTTGTAGACATCAGTGTAGGGATTTGACTGTTGTAGACATCAGTGTAGGGATTTGACTGTTGTAGACATCAGTGTAGGGATTTGACTGTTGTAGACAGTGTAGGGATTTGACTGTTGTAGAGACATCAGTGTAGGGATTTGACTGTTGTAGACATCAGTGTAGGGATTTGACTGTTGTAGACATCAGTGTAGGGATTTGACTGTTGTAGACATCAGTGTAGGGATTTGACTGTTGTAGACATCAGTGTAGGGATTTGACTGTTGTAGACATCAGTGTAGGGATTTGACTGTTGTAGACATCAATGTAGGGATTTGACTGTTGTAGACATCAATGTAGGGATTTGACTGTTGTAGAGACATCAGTGTAGGGATTTGGCTGTTGTATAGGGATTTGACTGACATCAGTGTAGGGATTTGACTGTTGTAGAGACATCAGTGTAGGGATTTGACTGTTGTAGAGACATCAGTGTAGGGATTTGACTGTTGTAGACATCAGTGTAGGGATTTGACTGTTGTAGACATCAGTGTAGGGATTTGACTGTTGTAGACATCAGTGTAGGGATTTGACTGTTGTAGACATCAGTGTAGGGATTTGACTGTTGTAGACATCAATGTAGGGATTTGACTGTTGTAGAGACATCAGTGTAGGGATTTGACTGTTGTAGAGACATCAGTGTAGGGATTTGACTGTTGTAGAGACATCAGTGTAGGGATTTGACTGTTGTAGAGACATCAGTGTAGGGATTTGACTGTTGTAGAGAGGGATTTGACTGTTGTATCAGTGTAGGGATTTGACTTGTAGACTCAGTTAGGGATTTGACTGTTGTAGACATCAGTGTAGGGATTTGACTGTTGTAGACATCAGTGTAGGGATTTGACTGTTGTAGACATCAGTGTAGGGATTTGACTGTTGTAGACATCAGTGTAGGGATTTGACTGTTGTAGAGACATCAGTGTAGGGATTTGACTGTTGTAGAGACATCAGTGTAGGGATTTGACTGTTGTAGAGACATCAGTGTAGGGATTTGACTGTTGTAGAGACATCAGTGTAGGGATTTGACTGTTGTAGACATCAGTGTAGGGATTTGACTGTTGTAGACAGTGTAGGGATTTGACTGTTGTAGAGACATCAGTGTAGGGATTTGACTGTTGTAGACATCAGTGTAGGGATTTGACTGTTGTAGACATCAGTGTAGGGATTTGACTGTTGTAGAGACATCAGTGTAGGGATTTGACTGTTGTAGAGACATCAGTGTAGGGATTTGACTGTTGTAGAGACATCAGTGTAGGGATTTGACTGTTGTAGACATCAGACATCAGTGTGGGGATTTGACTGTTGTAGACATCAATGTAGGGATTTGACTGTTGTAGACATCAGTGTAGGGATTTGACTGTTGTAGACATCAGTGTAGGGATTTGACTGTTGTAGACATCAGTGTAGGGATTTGACTGTTGTAGAGACATCAGTGTAGGGATTTGACTGTTGTAGAGACATCAGTGTAGGGATTTGACTGTTGTAGAGACATCAGTGTAGGGATTTGACTGTTGTAGAGACATCAGTGTAGGGATTTGACTGTTGTAGACATCAGTGTAGGGATTTGACTGTTGTAGACATCAGTGTAGGGATTTGACTGTTGTAGACATCAGTGTAGGGATTTGACTGTTGTAGACATCAGTGTAGGGATTTGACTGTTGTAGACATCAGTGTAGGGATTTGACTGTTGTAGAGACATCAGTGTAGGGATTTGACTGTTGTAGACATCAGTGTAGGGATTTGACTGTTGTAGACATCAGTGTAGGGATTTGACTGTTGTAGACATCAGTGTAGGGATTTGACTGTTGTAGACATCAGTGTAGGGATTTGACTGTTGTAGAGACATCAGTGTAGGGATTTGACTGTTGTAGACATCAGTGTAGGGATTTAGTTAGGCTGTTGTAGAGACATCGGTAGTAACACAATTTTTTTTATCAAGATTGCTCATACCTTTGTATGCATGAGTTAATCTAATTAAAAGTGAGATATATTTGACATGATTAAATGTTCTGGTTCCTGGTTGGTGATTTGTTTAACTCATTACTGAAAAGCCAGCAACATTAGATTAAATCGTGTGTTTGTGATTTCAGTTTTTGTATTATCATACAAGTTTGAGGTTGTTGTGCCACAGCTATTCCATAAGCGTGGTTTACATACTCAGCAATAAACGTTGGAAGGTGTTTTAAAATTTTCTCTGACTTGATATTGAGTATGGCCTGATTGCAGTGTGGCAGACTTGTTTAATCTGACAGCCTGTGAAATCTGACAAAGTGGGCAGGTTACATGATATCAGAATGGTGTTTAGACACTATAAGTGATTAGCACTTGCCTTTGGAGGTCCAGAATACTTTTAATTTGACTAGGCACATTTCAGATCTTACATGACAAGAGTGACAAGTTTTATCTAATTTCTCTGTCTGAGGTTCTTGTCCTTGTCGTTTCTTCTGTCTCCTACCCCAGCGCAAAGTGAATATATAAATAAATAAATATACAGTTGTACATAGTATCATTGTTGGACTAATTACTCGGATCAGGCAGATAGAATGAATACCTTAGATATGAGAAGTCAGCTGCTTTTGTCTGTTTCAGCCCAGAGGTGAGAGAATTTTTGACTCTAGACAATCCACGCAATGCTCAGGAACCAGTAGACTCTGATACATTTGAAGACACTATGGTGAGTACAGAAAATTATTTTCAATGATAAATCGTAATTTACAGAAAAGCAACAGTTCTGTATGTGTATATTTCAAACATTTACCAAGGAGAAATGATAATAAAGACAATAAAAACAAGATCAGCTCTAAACAAGATCCAACCTTATTGATAGACATTGGCACAACTCCTAGCATCATTGATAGACATTGGCACAACTCCTAGCATCATTGCTAGACATTAACACAACTCCTAGCATCATTGATAGACATTGGCACAACTCCTAGCATCATTGCTAGACATTGGCACAACTCCTAGCATCATTGATAGACATTGGCACAACTCCTAGCATCATTGCTAGACATTAACACAACTCCTAGCATCATTGATAGACATTGGCACAACTCCTAGCATCATTGCTAGACATTAACACAACTCCTAGCATCATTGCTAGGCATTGGCACAACTCCTAGCATCATTGATAGACATTGGCACAACTCCTAGCATCATTGCTAGACATTGGCACAACTCCTAGCATCATTGATAGACATTAACACAACTCCTAGCATCATTGCTAGACATTGGCACAACTCCTAGCATCATTGCTAGACATTGGCACAACTCCTAGCATCATTGATAGACATTAACACAACTCCTAGCATCATTGCTAGACATTGGCACAACTCCTAGCATCATTGCTAGACATTAACACAACTCCTAGCATCATTGATAGACATTGGCACAACTCCTAGCATCATTGCTAGACATTAACACAACTCCTAGCATCATTGCTAGACATTGGCACAACTCCTAGCATCATTGCTAGACATTAACACAACTCCTAGCATCATTGATAGACATTGGCACAACTCCTAGCATCATTGCTAGACATTGGCACAACTCCTAGCATCATTGATAGACATTGGCACAACTCCTAGCATCATTGCTAGACATTAGCACAACTCCTAGCATCATTGATAGACATTGGCACAACTCCTAGCATCATTGCTAGACATTAACACAACTCCTAGCATCATTGCTAGGCATTGGCACAACTCCTAGCATCATTGATAGACATTGGCACAACTCCTAGCATCATTGCTAGACATTGGCACAACTCCTAGCATCATTGATAGACATTAACACAACTCCTAGCATCATTGCTAGACATTGGCACAACTCCTAGCATCATTGCTAGACATTGGCACAACTCCTAGCATCATTGCTAGACATTGGCACAACTCCTAGCATCATTGCTAGACATTAACACAACTCCTAGCATCATTGATAGACATTGGCACAACTCCTAGCATCATTGCTAGACATTAACACAACTCCTAGCATCATTGCTAGACATTGGCACAACTCCTAGCATCATTGATAGACATTAGCACAACTCCTAGCATCATTGCTAGACATTGGCACAACTCCTAGCATCATTGCTAGACATTGGCACAACTCCTAGCATCATTGATAGACATTAACACAACTCCTAGCATCATTGCTAGACATTAACACAACTCCTAGCATCATTGATAGACATTGGCACAACTCCTAGCATCATTGCTAGACATTAACACAACTCCTAGCATCATTGCTAGACATTGGCACAACTCCTAGCATCATTGATAGACATTAACACAACTCCTAGCATCATTGCTAGACATTAGCACAACTCCTAGCATCATTGCTAGACATTGGCACAACTCCTAGCATCATTGCTAGACATTGGCACAACTCCTAGCATCATTGCTAGACATTGGCACAACTCCTAGCATCATTGCTAGACATTGGCACAACTCCTAGTGTCATTGCTAGACATTAACACAACTCCTAGCATCATTGATAGACATTAACACAACTCCTAGTATCATTGATAGACATTAACACAACTCCTAGCATCATTGATAGACATTAACACAACTCCTAGCATCATTGATAGACATTAACACAACTCCTAGCATCATTGATAGACATAAACACAACTCCTAGCATCATTGATAGACATTAACACAATTCCTAGCATCATTGATAGACATTAACACAACTCCTAGCATCATTGATAGACATTAACACAACTCCTAGCATCATTGATAGACATTAACACAACTCCTAGCATCATTGCTAGACATTAGCACAACTCCTAGCGTCATTGCTAGACATTAGCACAACTCCTAGCGTCATTGCTAGATATTAGCACAACTTCTAGCATCATTGCTCGACGTTAACACAACTCCTAGCGTCATTGATAGACATTAGCACAACTCCTAGCATCATGATTTAAACAGGCTCTGAACTGGTTCCTAGAGTGTTTATTTTGATCTGTTTTTGGAGAATGTATGTGAAGTCAAAGAACTAAAGAAGGCTGGGATAGATGTTTATAAAACGTTTACTGTTTCTCACAAGTCTCTTAAAACTTTCTGCATGATATGTTATTGTATGGTACTGTCTGTCTATAATGTATAACTCTAGTATGAAGTTGTGCCTGACAATCTGGTTTTAACTCAACACCTTGAAATGTTATGATCCCCTCAGTGGGGATCTTTTGGTTCAAAACTTTTTAATTTTTGAAATTGACCTGTGTTTGTGGTCCTTTGTCCGTCTGTCTGTCCATAAACTGTTTTTGTTATTGATAGTGCTTGAGAAGTACTGGATGGATCTTTCTCAAATTTCAGATGTTGGTTCCCACTAGTTCCTAGTTTTGCCTGTTTGATATAGGGTCTGATCACAAATAAAAAATGGCTTACAGGTGGCCATCTTGGATTTTACAATGATGTTTGCTATCAATATTTCTTGAAAAGTATGGGATGGATCTTTCAAATTTCATAGGTGTGCCTGTTTGATTTTGAGTATGATTAGAAAAACAAAATGGCCCACAGGTGACCATCTTGGATATTTAAAATGAAGTTTGATATCACTTTTTCTTGAAAAATATAAATGGATCTCTAGCAAATTTCATATGCTGGTTCTCCATGGTCCCTTGTTGTGTCCATTTGATTTTGGATTGATCAGTAAAATAATATGGCAGGCAGATGGCCTTCTTTGATTCTGCCTATTAAAGTTTGTTATCACTCTTTCTTGTGAAGTACTAGGTGGATCTTAAGCTTCTTACGTAGGGTCTTCTTGGTTCCTAGTTGTTCCTGTTTGGTTTTGTGACTGACAGACAACCATCTTGGATTTAGCAATTAAAAATTAACATCACTATTTTTGAAAAGAATGATTAAATTTTGTCAGTAAAAGTGAACGCAGAGAAGAGAAGAGAAAAAAAGGGAAATGATCCATCATTTAAAGATCAAACAATGGTGGATGTCAAGATCCCTCAGGGATCTCCTTTCCAAAAATGTATTGGCATTTCATTTTTGTTTTAAAGTTGTCTGGAACACATTAATTTTGTTATTCGAAAAACAAACAAAACAAAACAAAATTAAAATATCAGTAACAGAATTTTTTTGCTGTGCATGCAGAACCTTGTGTGTTGTATATTGATCTGTTGAATTCAAGATAATTTCTCACAATGTTTCTGCATGTGATGGATTTTATCGGAACGTGAAGAAAAGCATTCTGCTCATTGACAAATTTAGACAGATATCACCAGTTATCACTAACACACTGATTCAGCATCAAATCTGGACAGATGATACAAGTTAAAACATTTACATGTATGCCCTCGTTAGTTATAATAAAGCAACAAAAAACACAGTGTCCTTGTGATTGAGATGTATAAGGCATGTGATGTATTGGGGCTGTTTCTAATACTGATCAGGAGTAACTGGGAGCCATTGTAGTTTCCTTTAACTTTTAAAGTTAAATTTTGAAAGTATTTTAAGTTCATTATTATCCTTCCCACACACTTTTTATTTTATATATACTTTCATCAAAGTTCCAGGTGTGAACATGGTGTTGTAGTTGGTGATGTTTCAATGGTTGACCTCTTCTACTTCTGTCATATACTTTTAAGGTCAGAATATCTGTCATAGCCATGAATACAGAATAAAAGAATACTCCACACAGAATAACAGAATACTCAGCACAGAATAACAGAATACTCCACACAGAATAACAGAATACTCAGTACAGAATCTCAGCACAGAATAACAGAATACTCAGCACAGAATAACAGGATACTCAGTACAGAATCTCAGCACAGAATAGCATAATACTCATCACAGAATAACATAATACACATCACAGAATAACATAATACTCATCACAGAATATCAGCACAGAATAACATAATACTCATCACAGAATAACAGAATACTCAGCACAGAATACCCAACACAGAATAACAGAATACTCAGCACAGAATAACAGAATACTCAGCACAGAATACTCAGCACAGAATAACAGAATACTCAGCACAGAATAACAGAATACTCATAACAGAATAACATAATACTCAGTACAGAATACTCATCACAGAATAACAGAATACTCAGTACAGAATACTCATCACAGAATAACAGAATACTCAGTACAGAATACTCAGCACAGAATAACAGAATACTCATCACAGAATAACAGAATACTCAGCACAGAATAACAGAATACTCCACACAGAATAACATAATACTCAGTACAGAATATCAACACAGAATAACATAATACTCAGTACAGAATAACAGAATACTCCACACAGAATAACAGAATACTCAGTACAGAATAACAGAATACTCAGCACAGAATAATAGAATACTCATCACCATACATAGAACAGTACTTCTTAGAACACATAGTGTCTCTACTACTGATAATTTTTTTCTCTGTTATAAAGCCAGTACAAACTTTGGTTTTGATTTCCTGATCAAAATTGTATTTGTAAACCTCATTTCAATAAATGCTGATAAAAAATCTGTCCTTAGGATCATGTCATGAAAATTGATTTTCTGGGTGGTATCATTTTAAAAGTTATCGCCCTGTATTGTTTTTTCTTCATTATTGTTTTAATGAATGTCAGTATATCCTCTTTTAAACTTGATCAGCATTATCATAATATTTTGATGTCATTTTACAACAGTGATTTTTTGGACTCAAGTATTTGAGTCCTGGGCTCATGTTTTTCCCATGGTACTCACTCAAATTTAAGGACCCATTACATCTCTTTGTAACAGGACTCATCCAAATTGAGTACGCTGGGCTCACCAGAAAATTGCTACAAAAATGCCTGGACAAAATAATGTGTTTCACCTGTTGTACTTTGTGATCCTTGTGTCATTATTATTGTCTATAGTATATCCACAGACCGCATACTCTTGGGTTTGTACTGTTAATGAAAAGCAATGACCGTTCTATTTTTAGGATCGTAAGGACACCAACCCGGTGAACCTGGGTCCAAGTGAACGGACAAGGTAAGTGACCATTGCTGGTGATTTGTCATTAGTATAGGACTATACTTGGTCAATACACAGGTCACTCAGCTGTGTCAGTGAAGATCGTCAATGGTCTTTATGATCATAATCTTAAAGGTTTAACTAAAACTATATTTATAACAAGGATTTAATAAAACTCTGTCCATTGTCCATTCTTCAGCCAAGTGGCTGAATTTAGTGGTCATCTTGTGTAGTTTTTGGTCGTTAATCTGTTTACCATCTGGTTTACCTTAGTGTGATTAGGATTCCTTACCATCTTATACACTACATACATCATTATTATCATTTGTCTGATGAAGATGACTGTGTAGTCATCAAAACGTCACACTCTAATCTTCTACTGGTTGTGTTATAAGATGAAGGTGACTGTGTAGTCACCGTCACACTCTAATCTTCTACTGGTTGTGTTATAAGATGAAGGTTACCGTGTAGTCACAAAAACGTCACACTCTAATCTTCTACTGGTTGTGTTATAAGATGAAGGTGACCGTATAGTCATTAAAACGTCACTCTCTCATCTCCTACTGGTTGTGTTATAAGATGAAGGTGACCATGTAGTCATCGAAACATCACACTCTAATCTTCTACTGTTGTGTTATAAGATGAAGGTGACCATGTAGCCATCAAAACATCACACTCTAATCTCCTCCTGGCTGTGTTATAAGATGAAGGTGACCGTGTAGTCATCAAAACGTCACACTCTAATCTTCTACTGGTTGTGTTATAAGAGGAAGGTGACCATGTAGCCATCAAAACATCACTCTCAAATCTCCTACTGGTTGTGTTATAAGATGAAGGTTACCGTGTAGTCACAGAAACATCACACTCTAATCTTCTACTGGTTGTGTTATAAGATGAAGGTGACCATGTAGCCATCAAAACATCACTCTCTAATCTCCTATTGGTTGTGTTATAAGATGAAGGTGACAGTGTAGTCATCAAAACGTCACACTCTAATCTCCTACCGGTTGTGTTATAAGAACTTTTATTCTATAAGTGGTCAAGTAAATATGTAAATAGCTTGCAGTATGACTTTACTCTTCAAGTCACTTGATTTCCTAGTCCATGTACAGTGGATACATTAGTGAAAAATAACCTGCTTTTTTAGTCTGGGTATGAAACTCTTGAAGATGTCCTGCAACTTCTAGACCTCCCATGACCCCAAGACCTCTTGTAACCCCCAGCTGTCCAATGACCCACAGACCTCTTGTAACCCCCAGCTGTCCGCTGACCCACAGACCTCGTGTAATCCCCAGCTGTCCGCTGACCCACAGACCTCTTGTAACCCCCAGCTGTCTGCTGACCCACAGATGTCAACTAATCTCCAGCTGTCCCCTTACCCCCAGACCTCTTGTAACCCCCAGCTGTCCGCTGACCCACAGATGTCCTCAAATCACCAGCTGTCTCCTTACCCCCAGACCTCTTGTAACCCCCAGCTGTCTGCTGACCCACAGATGTCCTCTAATCTCCAGCTGTCCCCTTACCACCAGACCACTTGCAACCCCCAGCTGTCCGCTGACCCACAGATGTCCACTAATCTCTAGCTGTCCCCTTACCTCCAGACCTCTTGTGACCCCAAACAGTCCCCATCAGTTCATCACGATTTTTTCTCAGTATATCAGAATCATTCAACAGACTACCAAATAAATAATGGAAGAAGCCACCTCTAGTCTGTTGGATTGATTCTGATATATTTCAGCTTACCCCGTCACATCAATGCCCTGCATACCTTCGAGTATCCAGGCTAAAGGAAAATAACCTTGATGCCTCCATTAATAGTACTATGGTGTTGGCTCTATTCTTAACACAATTTTTTCCAAATAATTAAAATGTCAAAGCCTTTATTGTTGAGCTCTAATTTGTATGAATAGTAAAATATCATTAGAGATTTTTTCTTCATTCATTTCTTTTACAGTGTGAAACCGAGTGATTTTGAGTTCCTTAAAGTCATTGGAAAAGGGAGTTTTGGCAAGGTAAGAAAGACACACCCCTTTTAGACATTATATGACAGATCTCCATCAGTCTAATATTATAGTGACTCAGATCTGTTCCTATGGTCCTATAAACAATAAGGAGAATGGCTGTACAAAGTATTCCTATGTTAGTTCCAATATCAGCCCTAAGGTTGGGGATGAACGATTACTGACACAGTATGTATAACCAAATAACCATGTCTTGCATAAGATATTGTCATCCTCATCAACACTTGTCAAAGTATTTTCAGTATTTTCAACATGTCATAACCAACTTGATGAACTTTTAGTATATAGTACATATGAGTTCAAAGGCAGGAATCCAATCAGTCTTCCTTGTCCTAGAATCCGATAGGCCATGTCAGTGTTGGTCTACATCGTACAGTAATGTAGTTCTAATTGTCCAAGTCGACCATACCTAATGCCTTGAAGATGACGGTTGGTAGTGGAATCTGCATTACATGAGATTTGTGTTAAACGTTTTTGACTTTTGGAAGTAAAAGCTTACTGGTTACAAATGCATGTAGTATCCTAAATAGTACAGGATACGGGCTAGGTGTTCTCATACCCTCATGATTCTCTGTCTAGAAGGACACTGGCAATAACCCTTTATGGGATTAATGGCATTGGAGCTGTCATGCTGGATCCAGACATTGTACTTTACACTTCTCTTACGCTTTGAGTGGATCTGACATCGTAAAAACGTCTCCTCAGTGCTGATAGATCCAGATCTCGTAGTCCCCATGATCACTGAGGTGCTCACTTATGTTGCCAGCCGCCAATGATATTTGGTTTGTGCCACATGACATTGTCTGAAAGTACTCAATGTATAACTTTGGAAAGTCACAATTATCTGCAATACCATCTAGTCTGACAAAAAGTCACTTGGTCCTTCTGGTAAGATCTGGTTCATTTTTCACACGCTGAGCTGAGAAGTGAACACTAAGGAGCGCTTTCCCTATCCTTTGTGTCTTTTTCTTGTGTTATAACATATATATGGTTGATGAATCATCCATGATATGGCTCCACTTTGCATCTGGATTTAATTTTGGATCTATCAGGGTTAGCTTGTAGGTCGTCATGTTGAGTCTGCCAAGGTTTTAGACAAGATGGCATATTTGTTGTCAAACCACATGATTCCAAATCTGGCAAAACATCCCTAAACGCTCGATCAACAACGACGTTGTATCATCATCAACAACAACGTTTTAACCTTTGGGTTGTGACTTTCTTTTCTGATGATTCTTAAAACACTTATCACACTTACCGACCTCTCTTGATCATCAGTTAGCACCATCTGTTTTTAAAACATCTAACAACCAATTGTGCTGGGGAAGTCCTATATTTCTGTCAGGTTTCTTGGTCTCCCCTAAAGACAACTTTACAACCCGCACCTACACATCTACCTGTCATTGTAAGAACGGTACTGTATAAGGTGTTAGAAGTCTCTGTTAGAGTAGAACAGGGGATGTCAGAAGAACACCTGATATGATATTGGGGTAAATGGGGTATATAATATATTGTTGGGAGATTTATATTGTAACTATTTGTCCTATTATATATTGTATTTAACGTCCTTATTATAATTGACAGATATAGTCATTCAAGGACATTTGGTCATTACTTGTATGCGTGCTAGGGGTTGTTATATATTAGGAAAGGCACATGTGTACATGGGTGTAACAGGATGGTCTCCTATTTCTGCTATTGTTCAACCAGTCATTGGGGTATTACACATCTAAGCCAAAAATCAACACTTTGCACAAATGCTGAAGTTTCAATTCATAGGCAGGGTTAGGGTGCAGGATAAAGCTATATATTTGCTAAATAATTTTGAATGGGCTAAATATGTAAGACATTCAGATTGTCATTTGTTTACAAAAATTTGATGTTTTTCTCACAAAATGCTTAAAAAATCAATAATATCTGTGTTTTAGGAATTTTTCCGTTTCGTTAAAATAATTAATTTAGTTTTATCTGTTTTGTGACAATCCATGTTCATAGTTTAGTAATTTAGTTACGTAATTAGTTAACAAAGCAAGTGCATCAATGATTTATTTGGATTAAATGTAAAGCATTGGGGACCAACATTGATGGCACAAAGCAATGTATAGGTGAGTGGTCTCAAAGGCTGGAAAATCTTAAGCTAACGTCTGTGGGAAATTAGCATTGCTGGAAACCCCACCTTTGTTTCAAATTCACCAATACCTTAATGATATTGTGTAAATTTGACTCCTGTGTTTTTGCAGGTCCTCCTTGCCCGACACAAGCTAGAAGGGCACATCTACGCTATCAAGGTGCTTCAAAAGCAGGCTATCATGAAGAGAAACGAGGCAAAACATATCATGGCTGAACGCAATGTCCTGTTAAAAAACATCAAACATCCCTTCCTGGTGGGCCTGCACTACTCCTTCCAGACTGCTGACAAGCTGTACTTTGTCCTTGACTACGTTAACGGTGGTGAGGTAGGTGTTTATTTATAAATTAAACAAACTTCCTTTATAAATCAGAAAAGAAATACAACATTGCGATGTATAATATTTTTCCAACAATAAAACAGGAATCATTTATTCTGTTCACACTTGTGTTTGTTATCTGGGTGGAAGTTTAAGCATCTATTCCTACACAACATAAGCCCGAGGCTAAGTCTAAACTACAACATTAATTAGTCTGGTGTTTATAGAAGATTCTCCTCTGTTGGAGCTAATTGGCATTAGGTTCTAATTATGCTGATGCATTTCAGTTATGAATTGTGTAAATCAAATGTGGTTGAAGGTTGGCCTATATAGTTTTACATTACTTTGTCTCATTTGTCCCCGCTATAAACAGCATACAAATGTGGAGACACTGTCAATCTTGTTTAGAATAAGAACTTCTATTGAATCCGAGGGCCTTTCATTTAGTATCTGCCAATAACAACATGTTAATAAGAATTAAATATTTGTTGAAAGGTTTAGGTACAAGGGGATGTGAAATGACTACGGTTTATATCGGTAAAGGAGTTTGAGGTATCTGTGGATTACACATACGGGGGGGTTAGGGGTGAGTGTGGTTTATGTATTAGGGTGTTAGGGGTGAGTGTGGTTTATGTATTAGGGGGTTAGGGGTAAGTGTGGTTTATGTATTAGGGGGTTAGGGGTGACTGTGGTTTATGTATTAGGGGGTTAGGGGTAAGTGTGGTTTATATATTTGGGGGTTAGGGGTGAATGTGGTTTATGTATTAGGGGGTTAGAGGTGAGTGTGGTTTATGTATTAGGGGATTAGGGATGACTGTGGTTTATGCATTAGGGGGTTAGGGGTGAGTGTGGTTTATGTATTAGGGGGTTAGGGGTGACTGTGGTTTATGTATTAGGGGGTTAGGGGTAAGTGTGGTTTATGTATTAGGGGATTAGGGGTGACTGTGGTTTATGTATTAGGGGGTTAGGGGTGAGTGTGGTTTATGTATTAGGGGGTTGGGGTGAGTGTGGTTTATGTATTAGGGGGTTAGGGGTAAGTGTGGTGTATTAGGGGGTTAGGGGTGAATGTGGTTTATGTATTAGGGGGTTAGAGGTGAGTGTGGTTTATGTATTAGGGGGTTAGGGGTGAGTGTGGTTTATGTATTATGGGGTTAGAGGTGACTTTGGTTTATGTATTAGGGGATAAGAGGTAAATTTGTTTTATGTATTAGGGGGTTAGGGTGACTGTGGTTTATGTATTAGGGGGTTAGGGGTGAGTGTCGTTTATGTATTAGGGGGTTAGAGGTGAGTTTGGTTTATTTATTAGGGGGTTAGGGTTTATTTGGGGGTTTGGGGTGAGTGTGGTTTATGTATTAGGGGGTTAGGGGTGACTGTGGTTTATGTATTAGGGGGTTAGGTGGTTTATGTATTAGGGGGTTGGGGGTGAGTGTGGTTTATGTATTAGGGGGTTACCGGTAATTGTGGTTTATGTATTAGGGGTTAGAGGTGACTGTGGTTTATGTATTAGGGAGTTAGGAGTGAGTGTGGTTTATGTATTAGGGTGTTAGAGGTGAGTGTGGTTTATGTATTAGGGGGTTTGTGGTGAGTGTGGTTTATGTATTAGGGGGTTAGGGGTGAGTGTGGTTTATGTATTAGGGGGTTAGGGGTGACTGTGGTTTATGTATTAGGGGGTTAGGGGTGAGTGTGGTTTATGTATTAGGGGGTTAGGGGTGAGTGTGGTTTATGTATTAGGGGGTTAGGGGTGAGTGTGGTTTATGTATTAGGGGGTTAGGGGTGACTGTGGTTTATGTATTAGGGGGTTAGGGGTGAGTGTGGTTTATGTATTAGGGGTTAGAGGTGACTGTGGTTTATGTATTAGGGGGTTAGGAGTGAGTGTGGTTTATTTATTAGGGGGTTAGGGGTGACTGTGGTTTATGTATTAGGGGGTTGGGGGTGAGTGTGGTTTATGTATTAGGGGGTTAGGGGTGAGTGTGGTTTATGTATTAGGGGGTTAGGGGTGAGTGTGGTTTATGTATAGGGAGTTAGTGAGTGTGGTTTATTTATTAGGGGGTTAGGGGTGACTGTGGTTTATGTATTAGGGGGTTGGGGGTGAGTGTGGTTTATGTATTAGGGGGTTAGGGGTGACTGTGGTTTATGTATTAGGGGGTTGGGGGTGAGTTTGGTGGTTTATGTATTAGGGGGTTAGAGGTGAGTGTGGTTTATGTATTAGGGGGTTAGAGGTGACTTTGGTTTATGTATTAGAGGGTTAGGGGTGAGTGTGGTTTATGTATTAGGGGGTTGGGGGTGAGTGTGGTTTATTTATTAGGGGGTTAGGGGTGAGTGTGGTTTATGTATTAGGGGGTTAGGGGTGACTGTGGTTTATGTATTAGGGGGTTAGGGGTGAGTGTGGTTTATGTATTAGGGGGTTAGGGGTGACTGTGGTTTATGTATTAGGGGGTTAGGGGTGACTGTGGTTTATGTATTAGGGGGTTAGGGGTAAGTGTTTTATGTGGGGGTTAGGGGTAATGTGGTTTATGTATTAGGGGGTTAGGGGTGACTGTGGTTTATGGGGGTTTGGGGTGACTGTGGTTTATGTATTAGGGGGTTAGGGGTGAGTGTGGTTTATGTATTAGGGTGTTAGAGGTGAGTGTGGTTTATGTATTAGGGGGTTAGGGGTGACTGTGGTTTATGTATTAGGGGGTTAGGGGTGAGTGTGGTTTATTTATTAGGGGGTTAGGGGTGAGTGTGGTTTATGTATTAGGGGGTTAGGGGTGACTGTGGGTTATGTATTAGGGGGTTAGTGGGTGTAGTTAGTGACTGTGGTTTATGTATTAGGGGGTTAGGGGTGAGTGTGGTTTATGTATTAGGGGGTTAGAGGTGAGTGTGGTTTATGTATTAGGGGGTTAGGGGTGACTGTGGTTTATGTATTAGGGGGTTAGGGGTGAGTGTGGTTTATGTATTAGGGGGTTAGGGGTGAGTGTGGTTTATGTATTAGGGGGTTAGGGGTGAGTGTGGTTTATGTATTAGGTGGTTTATGTAGGGGGTTAGGGGTGAGTGTGGTTTATGTATTAGGGGGTTAGGGGTGAGTGTGGTTTATGTATTAGGGGGTTAGGGGTGAGTGTGGTTTATGTATTAGGGGGTTAGGGGTGACTGTGGTTTATGTATTAGGGGTTAGGGGTGAGTGTGGTTTATGTATATTAGGGGGTTAGGGGAAGTTGGTTTATGTGGTGAGTGTGGTTTATGTATTAGGGGGTTAGGGGTGAGTGTGGTTTATGTATTAGGGGGTTAGGGGTGATGTGGTTTATTAGGGGGTTCGGGGTGAGTGTGGTTTATGTATTAGGGGGTTAGGGGTGAGTGTGGTTTATGTATTAGGGGGTTAGGGGTGAGTGTGGTTTATGTATTAGGGGTTAGAGGAGTGTGGTTTATGTATTAGGGGGTTAGGGGTGACTGTGGTTTATGTATTAGGGGATTAGGGGTGACTGTGGTTTATGTATTAGGGGGTTAGGGGTGAGTGTGGTTTATGTATTAGGGGGTTAGGGGTGACTGTGGTTTATGGTTTATGTATTAGGGGGTTTTATGTATTAGGGGTGAGTGTGGTTTATGTATTAGGGGGTTAGGGGAGTTGGTTTATGTATTAGGGGGTTAGGGGTGAGTGTGGTTTAGGGGGTTAGGGGTGATGTGGTTTATGTATTAGGGGGTTAGGGGTGAGTGTGGTTTATGTATTAGGGGGTTAGAGGTGACTTTGGTTTATGTATTAGAGGGTTAGGGGTGAGTGTGGTTTATGTATTAGGGGGTTGGGGGTGAGTGTGGTTTATGTATTAGGGGGTTAGTGAGTGTGGTTTATGTATTAGGGGGTTAGGGGTGACTGTGGTTTTTGTATTAGGGGGTTCGGGGTGAGTGTGGTTTATGTATTAGGGGGTTGGGGGTGAGTGTGGTTTATTTATTAGGGGGTTAGGGGTGAGTGTGGTTTATGTATTAGGGAGTTAGGAGTGAGTGTGGTTTATTTATTAGGGGGTTAGGGGTGACTGTGGTTTATGTATTAGGGGGTTGGGGGTGAGTGTGGTTTATGTATTAGGGTGTTAGAGGTGAGTGTGGTTTATGTATTAGGGGGTTAGGGGTGAGTGTGGTTTATGTATTAGGGGGTTAGGGGTGACTGTGGTTTATGTATTAGGGGGTTGGGGGTGAGTGTGGTTTATGTATTAGGGTGTTAGAGGTGAGTGTGGTTTATGTATTAGGGGGTTAGAGGTGACTTTGGTTTATGTATTAGAGGGTTAGGGGTGAGTGTGGTTTATGTATTAGGGGGTTAGGGGTGAGTGTGGTTTATGTATTAGGGGGTTAGGGGTTAGAGTGTGGGTTTATGTATTAGGGGGTTAGTAGGTGAGTGTGGTTTATGTATTAGGGGGTTAGGGGTGAGTGTGGTTTATGTATTAGGGGTGTTGGTTTAGTATTAGGGGGTGAGGGTGAGTGTGGTTTATGTATTAGGGGGTTAGGGGTGAGTGTGGTTTATGTATTAGGGGGTTAGGGGTGAGTGTGGTTTATGTATTAGGGGGTTAGTGGTGAATGGGGATTAACTAAAAGGAGGTTGTGGGATACAGGGGTTTATGTATTAGGGGGTTAGGGGTGAGTGTGGTTTATGTATTAGGGTGTTAGAGGTGAGTGTGGTTTATGTATTAGGGGGTTAGAGGTGACTTTGGTTTATGTATTAGAGGGTTAGGGGTATGTATTTGGGGGTTAGGGATGAATGTGGTTTATGTATTAGGGTGTTAGGGGTGACTGTGGTTTATGTATTAGGGGGTTAGGGGTGAGTGTGGTTTATGTATTAGGGGGTTGGGGGTGAGTGTGGTTTATGTATTAGGGGGTTAGGGGTGAGTGTGGTTTATGTATTAGGGGTTAGAGGTGAGTGTGGTTTATGTATTAGGGGGTTAGAGGTGAGTGTGGTTTATGTATTAGGGGGTTAGGGGTGACTGTGGTTTATGCATTAGGGGGTTAGGGGTGAGTGTGGTTTATGTATTAGGGGGTTACCGGTAATTGTGGTTTATGTATTAGGGGTTAGAGGTGACTGTGGTTTATGTATTAGGGAGTTAGGAGTGAGTGTGGTTTATTTATTAGGGGGTTAGGGGTGACTGTGGGAATGTATTAGGGGTTAGTAAAGTTAGAATTAGGGTTAGGGGTTGGTAGTGTTATGTATTAGGGGGTTAGGGGTGAGTGTGGTTTATGTATAATATTTGAGTGAGGGAAAGTCAGTAAAGTTTGGTAGTCAGGGAAAAAAAGTTTGTTTGGTTTGGTAGTCAGGAAAAAGTTGTAAAGTTTGGTAGTCGGGGAAAAGTCAAAAGTTTGGTAGTCAGGAAAATGTCAGTAAAGTTTGGTAGTCGGGGAAAATGTAAAGTTTGGTAGTCAGGAAAATGTTGTAAAGTTTGTTGGTACAAAGGGAAAGTCACAAAGTTTGGTAGTTTCAGTAAAATCGGGGAAAGTCTGTTTGGTAGTCATAAAAGTCAGAAAGTTTGGTAGTCAGGAAAAAGTCAGTAAAGTTTGGTAGTCGGGGAAAAGTCAGTAAAGTTTGGTAGTCAGGGAAAGTCTGTAAAGTTTGGTAGTCAGGAAAAGTCAGTAAAGTTTGGTAGTCAGGAAAAGTCAGTAAAGTTTGGTAGTCAGGGAAAGTCAGTAAAGTTTGGTAGTCAGGAAAATGTTAGTAAAGTTTGGTAGTCAGGAAAAGTCAGTAAAGTTTGGTAGTCAGGAAAAAGTCAGTAAAGTTTGGTAGTCGGGGAAAGTTAGTAAAGTTTGGTAGTCAGGGAAAAGTCAGTAAAGTTTGGTAGTCGGGGAAATGTTAGTAAAGTTTTGTAGTCAGGAAAAAGTCAGTAAAGTTTGGTAGTCTGGGAAAAGTCAGTAAAGTTTGGTAGTCAGGGAAAGTCAGTAAAGTTTGGTAGTCAGGGAAAATGTCAAAAGTTTGGTAGTCAGTCAGTAAAAGTTTGGTAGTCAGGAAAAAGTCAGTAAAGTTTGGTAGTCGGGGAAAGTTAGTAAAGTTTGGTAGTCAGGGAAAAGTCAGTAAAGTTTGGTAGTCAGGGAAAGTCTGTAAAGTTTGGTAGTCAGGGAAAAGTCAGTAAAGTTTGGTAGTCAGGGAAAGTCAGTAAAGTTTGGTAGTCAGGGAAAGTCTGTAAAGTTTGGTAGTCAGGAAAAGTCAGTAAAGTTTGGTAGTCAGGGAAAGTCAGTAAAGTTTGGTAGTCAGGAAAAGTCAGTAAAGTTTGGTAGTCAGGAAAATGTCAGTAAAGTTTGGTAGTCGGGGAAAGTTAGTAATGTTTGGTAGTCAGGAAAATGTTAGTAAAGTTTGGTAGTCAGTTAAATGTCAGTAAAGTTTGGTAGTCAGGAAAATGTCAGTAAAGTTTGGTAGTGAGGGAAAAGTCAGTAAAGTTTGGTAGTCAGGGAAAGTCAGTAAAGATTGGTAGTCGGGGAAAGTCAGTAAAGTTTGGTAGTCAGGAAAAAGTCAGTAAAGTTTGGTAGTCGGGGAAAAGTCAGTAAAGTTTGGTAGTCAGGGAAAGTCTGTAAAGTTTGGTAGTCAGGAAAAGTCAGTAAAGTTTGGTAGTCAGGGAAAGTCAAAGTTTGGTAGTCAAAAGTTTAAAGTTTGGTAGTCAAAAGTCAGTAAAGTTTGGTAGTCAGGGAAAAAATAAAGTTTGGTAGTAAAGTTTTTGGTAGTCAGGGAAAGTCAGTAAAGTTTGGTAGTCAGGGAAAGTCAGTAAAGTTTGGTAGTCAGGGAAAGTCTGTAAAGTTTGGTAGTCAGGAAAAGTCAGTAAAGTTTGGTAGTCAGGGAAAGTCAGTAAAGTTTGGTAGTCAGGGAAAAGTCAGTAAAGTTTGGTAGTCAGGGAAAAGTCAGTAAAGTTTGGTAGTCAGGGAAAGTCAGTAAAGTTTGGTAGTCAGGGAAAGTCTGTAAAGTTTGGTAGTCAGGAAAAGTCAGTAAAGTTTGGTAGTCAGGGAAAGTCAGTAAAGTTTGGTAGTCAGGAAAAGTCAGTAAAGTTTGGTAGTCAGGGAAAGTCAGTAAAGTTTGGTAGTCAGGAAAATGTCAGTAAAGTTTGGTAGTCAGGAAAATGTTAGTAAAGTTTGGTAGTCAGGAAAATGTTAGTAAAGTTTGGTAGTCGGGGAAAAGTCTGTAAAGTTTGGTAGTGAGGGAAAAGTCAGTAAAGTTTGGTAGTCAGGAAAAGTCAGTAAAGTTTGGTAGTCAGGGAAAGTCAGTAAAGTTTGGTAGTCAGGAAAAGTCAGTAAAGTTTGGTAGTCAGGAAAAGTCAGTAAAGTTTGGTAGTGAGGGAAAAGTCAGTAAAGTTTGGTAGTCAGGGAAAAGTCAGTAAAGTTTGGTAGTCAGGGAAGTTTGGTAGTCAGGGAAAAGTCAGTAAAGTTTGGTAGTCAGGAAAAAGTCAGTAAAGTTTGGTAGTCAGGGAAAAGTCAGTAAAGTTTGGTAGTCAGGGAAAGTCAGTAAAGTTTGGTAGTCGGGGAAAGTTAGTAAAGTTTGGTAGTCAGGAAAAAGTCAGTAAAGTTTGGTAGTCAGGGAAAGTCAGTAAAGTTTGGTAGTCAGGAAAATGTCAGTAAAGTTTGGTAGTCGGGTAAAGTTAGTAAAGTTTGGTAGTCAGGAAAATGTCAGTAAAGTTTGGTAGTCAGGGAAAAGTCAGTAAAGTTTGGTAGTCAGGAAAAGTCAGTAAAGTTTGGTAGTCAGGAAAAAAAAGTAAAGTTTGGTAGTCGGGGAAAAGTCTGTAAAGTTTGGTAGTCAGGGAAAAGTCAGTAAAGTTTGGTAGTCGGGGAAAAGTCTGTAAAGTTTGGTAGTAAGGGAAAAGTCAGTAAAGTTTGGTAGTCAGGGAAAGTCAGTAAAGTTTGGTAGTGAGGGAAAAGTCTGTAAAGTTTGGTAGTGAGGGAAAAGTCAGTAAAGTTTGGTAGTCAGGGAAAGTCTGTAAAGTTTGGTAGTCAGGAAAATGTCAGTAAAGTTTGGTAGTCAGGAAAATGTTAGTAAAGTTTGGTAGTCAGGAAAAGTCAGTAAAGTTTGGTAGTGAGGGAAAAGTCTGTAAAGTTTGGTAGTGAGGGAAAAGTCAGTAAAGTTTGGTAGTCAGGGAAAGTCTGTAAAGTTTGGTAGTCAGGGAAAAGTCTGTAAAGTTTGGTAGTCAGGAAAAGTCAGTAAAGTTTGGTAGTCAGGAAAAGTCAGTAAAGTTTGGTAGTCAGGAAAAGTCAGTAAAGTTTGGTAGTCGGGGAAATGTTAGTAAAGTTTGGTAGTCAGGAAAATGTCAGTAAAGATTGGTAGTCAGGGAAAGTCTGTAAAGTTTGGTAGTGAGGGAAAAGTCAGTAAAGTTTGGTAGTCAGGGAAAGTCTGTAAAGTTTGGTAGTCAGGAAAATGTCAGTAAAGTTTGGTAGTCGGGGAAATGTTAGTAAAGTTTGGTAGTCAGGAAAATGTCAGTAAAGATTGGTAGTCGGGGAAAGTTAGTAAAGTTTGGTAGTCAGGAAAAAGTCAGTAAAGTTTGGTAGTCGGGGAAAAGTCAGTTAAGTTTGGTAGTCAGGAAAAAGTCAGTAAAGTTTGGTAGTCGGGGAAATGTTAGTAAAGTTTGGTAGTCAGGAAAAAGTCAGTAAAGTTTGGTAGTCGGGGAAAAGTCAGTAAAGTTTGGTAGTCGGGGAAAAGTTAGTAAAGTTTGGTAGTCGGGGAAAAGTCAGTAAAGTTTGGTAGTCAGGGAAAGTCAGTAAAGTTTGGTAGTCAGGGAAAGTCAGTAAAGTTTGGTAGTCAGGAAAAGTCAGTAAAGTTTGGTAGTCAGGGAAAGTCAGTAAAGTTTGGTAGTCAGGAAAATGTTAGTAAAGTTTGGTAGTCAGTTAAATGTCAGTAAAGTTTGGTAGTCAGGAAAATGTCCGTAAAGTTTGGTAGTCGGGGGAAAAGTCTGTAAAGTTTGGTAGTGAGGGAAAAGTCAGTAAAGTTTGGTAGTCAGGGAAAGTCAGTAGTTTGGTAGTCAGGGAAAGTCTGTAAAGTTTGGTAGTCAGGGAAAGTCTGTAAAGTTTGGTAGTCAGGAAAAGTCAGTAAAGTTTGGTAGTCAGGGTTTGGTAGTGAGGGAAAAGTCTGTAAAGTTTGGTAGTGAGGGAAAAGTCAGTAAAGTTTGGTAGTCAGGGAAAGTCTGTAAAGTTTGGTAGTCAGGAAAATGTCAGTAAAGTTTGGTAGTCAGGGAAAGTCAGTAAAGTTTGGTAGTCAGGGAAATGTTAGTAAAATTTGGTAGTCAGGAAAATGTCATTGAAGTTTGGCAGTCGGGGAAAGTCTGTAAAATTTGGTAGTCAGGAAAATGTCCGTAAAGTTTGGTAGTCAGGGAAAAGTCAGTAAAGTTTGGTAGTCAGGAAAATGTCAGTAAAGTTTGGTAGTCAGGGAAAGTCAGTAAAGTTTGGTAGTTGGGGAAAAAGTTATTTGAAATGTCCTGAAAGATCCTGAAAATGGTCTTAAGGAAAGCAGACTTAAAAAAATAACATTGATTTGTTTCCAGTTGTTCTTCCATCTACAAAGAGAACGCTACTTTCCTGAACAGAGGGCTCGGTTTTATGCTGCTGAAATGGCAAGCGCTATTGGCTACCTCCATTCACTCAATATCATCTATAGGTGAGCTCTGAATTTTATATCATTTACAAAGTTATATTTAAATTTACAGTCTTTAAAATCTGATTGACAACATAAAATATTACAGATGTGGAAAATGAAAAACAATGCAACAGTTGCAAGCACTTTACTGAGTGTAAGAAAAGCTGCCTTTTTTGTTGTCATAACATATGTCATAGAAATGATAATGGTGACAGAGTAAGATAATTGCATTAATGTTACATAATACAAAATTAATGTAAAACATACATAGCATTAAAAGTCATCTTGTGTTAATTATTCTAATCCAAGTTTAAATATTTCTATTTTTAATTTTACAAATTATGATAAATACTTGAAGTTTCTTGCGTAAACAGTAGCAAACTTTACCCTTCACCACAGGGGGTAATGTGAGACACTGGGATCTTGGATACTTCAACAAAGCTCTATAAAGAACCTTCCTTCCATGCTAAGTGTTTGATTCTACAGTATATGTGTTTTTAGAAGAAGACTAATGAAATTACTGTCAATTTGACACATTTTGACCCTGTCCCTTATTGCTAAATTTCATCCAAATTTGTTCAAGGGTTTTTAAAATGTAGTTGAAAAATGTCAAATGTTTACAGATGCACAATGAACAACGACAGACAAAAGGCAATTACAATGGGTCCCTATAGACCTCCTCTCACTTGACCTGGAAATTCACAAATCAAAACAATCTGACTGACCCATAAAGATAAGGACATATGTGTGTACCAAATAAATTTATTTACAATGTGTTTAAACAACGTTTGATTTCTGTGATGGTAGGCTGATGTAAGTAAAAGCTAATGCTGACCTTGTTGTTTTGGGTTTTATTCCTTGTTTGAAATGTTATACCATACTTAAATGTGTCTATATTTGATTCTGTAAAACATCAAAAGAACTGTACCATCCTGTGATAAATGTTTTACGTTATAGTTTTAAGTGACATCTTCCATGTTGACATAAGACATAGTCTTTGTGCTCTGTCCAAGGTCTATCCTCCATTGGCTGTCAACATGTTGTAAGGGGGACAAGACATCCTGTGTCATTGTGACAGGAAATTGTCAAGCGGTAAAAACATGGCCTATTACATCACTATCCTACGTGTGAAATTTCACGATTCTAACTTTAAATCTAATAACATTTCTTGTGACAGAAATCTTTCTGACAATTTTTAATGATATTTTGTATGAAACAAAGTACAGACTGTGTGATTTCTTAAGAAACAATGTACAGGCTGTGTGATTTCTTAAGAAACAATGTACAGGCTGTGTGATTTCTTAAGAAATAATGTACAGACTGTGTGATTTCTTAAGAAACAATGTACAGACTGTGTGATTTCTTAAGAAACAATGTACAGACTGTGATTTCTTAAGAAATAATGTACAGACTGTGTGATTTCTTAAGAAACAATGTACAGACTGTGATTTCTTAAGAAACAATGCACAGACTCTGTGATTTCTTAAGAAACAATGCACAGCCTGTGTGATTTCTTAAGAAACAATGCACAAACTGTGATTTCTTAAGAAATAATGTACAGACTGTATGATTTTTTAAGAAATAATGCACAGACTCTGTGATTTCTTAAGAAACAATGTGCAGACTCTGTGATTTCTTCAGAAATAATGTACAGACTGTGTGATTTCTTAAGAAATAATGCACAGACTCTGTGATTTCTTAAGAAACAATGTACAGACTGTGATTTCTTAAGAAACAATGCACAGACTCTGTGATTTCTTAAGAAACAATGCACAGACTGTGTGATTTCTTAAGAAACAATGCACAAACTGTGATTTCTTAAGAAATAATGTACAGACTGTATGATTTTTTAAGAAATAATGCACAGACTCTGTGATTTCTTAAGAAACAATGCGCAGACTCTGTGATTTCTTCAGAAACAATGTATCTTAATGTTTCTGTTTCTATGCACTATTTATTTTGTCCATTTCAGGGATCTCAAGCCAGAAAATATTTTACTTGATTCCAAGGTAAGAGTTTATGTAAATGCACTGTATAATGTATGTATATTTATGTAGGCAGACAGTGGTGCACTCAGAATGACAAATATGTAAATGATGACATGACTGTCAGAGGGAAACCTCTTCCTCCAGTGTTGTGGTGGTTATAGGTGGGATGGTTCTATTAGTTCTCAGCTGGTGTATAATTCAACATACAATTACCCAGATAGGGGAAACATGTGTCATGATAGAGAGGATGATAGGACAGACAAGTCCTACAGTGTGTCAGGTTAGACAGTGTGATAGGGCAGACATGTTGTGTCCTACAGTGTGTCAGGTTAGACAGGGTGATAGGACAGACATGTTGTGTCCTACAGTGTGTCAGGTTAGACAGGGTGATAGGACAGACATGTTGTGTCCTACAGTGTCAGGTTAGACAGGGTGATAGGACAGACATGTTGTGTCCTACAGTGTGTCAGGTTAGACAGGACGATAGGACAGACATGTTGTGTCCTACAGTGTGTCAGGTTAGACAGGATGATAGGACAGACATGTTGTGTCCTACAGTGTGTCAGGTTAGACAGGACGATAGGACAGACATGTTGTGTCCTACAGTGTGTCAGGTTAGACAGGATGATAGGACAGACATGTTGTGTCCTACAGTGTGTCAGGTTAGACAGGTGATAGGACAGACATGTTGTGTCCTACAGTGTGTCAGGTTAGACAGGTGATAGGACAGACATGTTGTGTCCTTCAGTGTGTCAGGTTAGACAGTGTGATAGGGCAGACATGTTGTGTCCTACAGTGTGTCAGGTTAGACAGGGTGATAGGACAGACATGTTGTGTCCTACAGTGTGTCAGGTTAGACAGGGTGATAGGACAGACATGTTGTGTCCTACAGTGTGTCAGGTTAGACAGGACGATAGGACAGACATGTTGTGTCCTACAGTGTGTCAGGTTAGACAGGATGATAGGACAGACATGTTGTGTCCTACAGTGTGTCAGGTTAGACAGGTGATAGGACAGACATGTTGTGTCCTACAGTGAGTCAGGTTAGATAGGGTGATAGGACAGACATGTTGTGTCCTACAGTGAGTCAGGTTAGAAGGGTGATAGGACAGACATGTTGTGTCCTACAGTGTGTCAGGTTAGACAGGGTGATAGGACAGACATGTTGTGTCCTTCAGTGTGTCAGGTTAGACAGGATGACAGGACACTGAGAGAGAGAGTACACGTTACTGTACAGAGATGTAACATCATTTTTTATTTCCATATTTCCTGTTTTCTGTCTTCAGGGACACATCACACTAACAGACTTTGGTCTGTGTAAGGAGGGAATAGAAGGCATGGGCACAACTAACACGTTCTGTGGAACGCCAGAGGTAGGAGATCTAATGATCACTTAATATAATGATGTCACGAACGCCAGAGGTAGGAGATCATTTTTAATATAATGATGTCACGATATAGGAGATTCACTGTGTAATGATGTCACGAACGCCAGAGGTAGGACTAATGATCACTTAATATAATGATGTCACGAACGACTTTGGTATAATGTGTACGAACGGAGGGAATGATAATGATGTCACGAACGGGATCACAAAATGTAATGATGTCAACTACACTTAATATAATGATGTCACGGACGCCAGAGGTAGGAGATCTAATGATCACTTAATATAATGATGTCACGAACGCCAGAGGTAGGAGATCTAATGATCACAAAATGTAATGATGTCACGAACGCCAGAGGTAGGAGATCTAATGATCACTTAATATAATGATGTCACGAACGCCAGAGGTAGGAGATCTAATGATCACTTAATATAATGATGTCACGAACGCCAGAGGTAGGAGATCTAATGATCACTTAATATAATGATGTCACGAACGCCAGAGGTAGGAGATCTAATGATCACAAAATGTAATGATGTCACGAACGCCAGAGGTAGGAGATCTAATGATCACTTAATATAATGATGTCACGAAAGCCAGAGGTAGGAGATCTAATGATCACTTAATATAATGATGTCACGAACGCCAGAGGTAGGAGATCTAATGATCACAAATTATAATGATGTCACGAACGCCAGAGGTAGGAGATCTAATGATCACTTAATATAATGATGTCACGAACGCCAGAGGTAGGAGATCTAATGATCACTTAATATAATGATGTCACGAATGCAGAGGTAGGAGATCTAATGATCACAAATTATAATGATGTCACGAACGCCAGAGGTAGGAGATCTAATGATCACAAATTATAATGATGTCACGAACGCCAGAGGTAGGAGATCTAATGATCACAAATTATAATGATGTCACGAACGCCAGAGGTAGGAGATCTAATGATCACTTAATATAATGATGTCACGAAAGCCAGAGGTAGGAGATCTAATGATCACTTAATATAATGATGTCACGAATGCAGAGGTAGGAGATCTAATGATCACAAATTATAATGATGTCACGAACGCCAGAGGTAGGAGATCTAATGATCACAAATTATAATGATGTCACGAACGCCAGAGGTAGGAGATCTAATGATCACAAATTATAATGATGTCACGAACGCCAGAGGTAGGAGATCTAATGATCACAAATTATAATGATGTCACGAACGCCAGAGGTAGGAGATCTAATGATCACAAAATATAATGATCTCACTCCTCTATCTTATGATCTCACTCCTCTGTCTAATGATCTCACTCCTCTGTCTAATGATCTCACTCCTCTGTCTAATGATCTCACTCTCTAATGTAATGATAAATGGATGTTACTAACAGATGTTTTTTTGTTTTTTGCGTGCAGTACTTAGCACCTGAAGTCCTGAGGAAACAGCCTTATGACAAGACGGTTGATTGGTGGTGTCTTGGCGCTGTATTGTATGAGATGATGTATGGTTTGGTAAGTGTACCGACTCACCTGTTTCTTTCACCTGTACACACATCAGTAGTTATGTCTAGGGCATCAGTCACATCAGTGTGTAACTATATCACTTTACACGTTATATACAAATATACCAAGTAACTAGCCACTTACCAGAATGATAACAATGTATCAGTAAAGATGTCTTTTTATTCATCCAAAATTGAAATTGCAAAAAATTGTGAATTCTTGCAAGCTTCCATGACAGTAAACAGACTGAATGGTTGGGTAGGTTACCATGACAATACACAGACTGAATGGCTGGGTAGGTTACCATGACAATAAACAGACTGAATGGCTGGGGGGTAGGTTACCATGACAGTAAACAGACTGAATGGCTGGGTAGGTTACCATGACAATAAACAGACTGAATGGCTGGGGGGTAGGTTACCATGACAGTAAACAGACTGAATGGCTGGGTAGGTTACCATGACAATAAACAGACTGAATGGCTGGGTATGTTACCATGACAGTAAACAGACTGAATGGCTGGGTAGGTTACCATGACAGTAAACAGACTGAATGGCTGGGTAGGTTACCATGACAATACACAGACTGAATGGCTGGGTAGGTTACCATGACAGTAGACAGACTGAACGGCTGAGTAGGTTACCATGACAGTAAACAGACTGAACGGCTGAGTAGGTTACCATGACAGTAAACAGGCTGAATGGCTGGGTAGGTTACCATGACAGTAGACAGACTGAACGGCTGGGTAGGTTACCATGACAGTAAACAGACTGAATGGCTGGGTAGGTTACAATGACAGTAAACAGACTGAACGGCTGGGTAGGTTACAAAGACAGTAAACAGACTGAACAGCGGGGTAGATTTTTTATGTTGTTAGTATATTAACCTGGTTTCTTATTTTTTTCAAATTTGTAGCCTCCATTCTACAGTCGAGACACTGCTGAAATGTATGACAACATCCTGTATAAACCACTGCGCCTTCGAACAAATGTGTCTGCTGCAGCTAGATCCATATTAGAAGGGGTAAGGTCGTCTGTCTTAAAATCGCCAGATATTAGACAGGGTAAGGTCATCTGTCCTACATTCACAGATATTAGACAGGGTAAGGTCGTCTGTCCTATAGTCACAGATATTAGACAGGGTAAGGTCGTCTGTCCTATAGTCACAGATATTAGACAGGGTAAGATCATCTGTCCTATAGTCACAGATATTAGACAGGGTAAGGTCGTCTGTCCTATAGTCACAGATATTAGACAGGGTAAGGTCGTCTGTCCTATAGTCACAGATATTAGACAGGGTAAGGTCATCTGTCTTATAGTCACAGATATTAGACAGGGTAAGGTCGTCTGTCCTATAGTCACAGATATTAGACAGGGTAAGGTCGTCTGTCCTATAGTCACAGATATTAGACAGGGTAAGGTCATCTGTCTTATAGTCACAGATATTAGACAGGGTAAGGTCGTCTGTCCTATAGTCACAGATATTAGACAGGGTAAGGTCGTCTGTCCTATAGTCACAGATATTAGACAGGGTAAGATCATCTGTCCTATAGTCACAGATATTAGACAGGGTAAGATCATCTGTCCTATAGTCACAGATATTAGACAGGGTAAGGTCGTCTGTCCTATAGTCACAGATATTAGACAGGGTAAGATCATCTGTCCTATAGTCAGAGATTATATATTAGAGTTCTTTGTCCTGTCCTTATTTCTAAGAACTTGATTTTGCTATGAAACATGAGGTGTTGGACTTGTACCAAGTTTATTGGATGTATGAGCAGCCCTGAGTTCTGATGTTATATTTTATGTTACATGTGTGTACAACTGACTTCCTATTTTACAGTTGTTACAAAAGGAGAAAGAAAAACGCCTTGGCTGCCAGCAGGACTTCATGGAAGTCAAATCTCATGAATTTTTCAAAGACCTAAATTGGGATGAACTTGATGAAAAGAAAATGAAACCACCATACAATCCCAATGTGGTAAGATCACAAGTGTACATTCTTTAGGGAAACAAAAGTAAACCAGTCTGTGATGTTAAATATGGATGTAGATTCTAAGTAAACCAGTCTGTCATGTTAAATATGGATGTAGATTCTAAGTAAACCAGTCTGTGATGTTAAATATGGATGTAGATTCTAAGTAAACCAGCCTGTGATGTTAAATATGGATGTAGATTCTAAGTAAACCAGTCTGTGATGTTAAATATGGATGTAGATTCTAAGTAAACCAGTCTGTGATGTTAAATATGGATGTAGATTCTAAGTAAACCAGTCTGTGATGTTAAATATGGATGTAGATTCTAAGTAAACCAGTCTGTGATGTTAAATATGGATGTAGATTCTAAGTAAACCAGTCTGTGATGTTAAATATGGATGTAGATTCTAAGTAAACCAGTCTGTCATGTTAAATATGGATGTAGATTCTAAGTAAACCAGTCTGTGAAGTTAAATATGGATGTAGATTCTAAGTAAACCAGTCTGTCATGTTAAATATGGATGCAGATGAGCATAAACATAAACAATCATGAATTACTGCTGTGAATGTTAAAACATCACAATTGTGTCCACAGTTCATAATTATGATTCACCATCATGGATATGAGAACAAATTTTGATCTTGTTTACAGAGTGGTCAACTTGATTTGAAGCACTTTGATCCAGAATTTGTGCGAGAACCAGTACCAGGTAATTATAGTGTGATTAAAGGGAGGCTACTTTGGTGGAATGTGTACCAAATTGGTCCGATTTTAGTACTTTGCTCTATACAGTGGTAAATTTATTCATGTTAAAAAAGTCAATCAAATATTATAGAAAAAAAAGAAAAATAATTTCTTTTTAAATGTGAATATACATTGAAATTCCCAATGGTTGTAAACTGTCTGCCAAATAAGGAATTATTCCGCCCTTTGTTTAGATATTTGTGCTGAGGATAGATGAATTAAGATTATCACTCGTACACAAATGTTTATAGGGAGAATTGTCTTATATATTTTACTATGTCTGTTTCAGCATCTGTTGGCAAGTCCATGGGCACCAGTAAGTTAGTGAGCGCCAGTGTAATGGAGGCCGATAGCATGTTCCAGGGCTTCTCCTATGTACCGCCTGCTGAAGATGCATTTACATGACAAACATCCAAGAGACCAGGATTATAGCCTTATAATAACTGTGATAGGCCATACCCCAGAGACCAGGTGTTAAGGTCATTGTATGATGATCCAGTGTCAATAATGTATGATAGCTCCAGGTGTCAAGGTCATAGTATAATGACCCTAGGTGTCAAGGTTATTGTTTGACCCCAGATGTCAGGGTCATTGTATGATGACCCTGCATGTCAAGAACATTGTATGATGGTGCAGGTGTCAAGGAATTGTATAATGTTCATCAGAAAGGATAAGGACCCCAGGTGTTAATGTCACTTTGACCTTTCTTCACTGAGTAAACATTTGGTTAAGTGAAAAAATGGCACCATACATTACGGACAATTGAAAGCAAAGAAAAGATGGGACATTACAATCATATCTAGATATCAGTGAGTCCTCAATGAAGTTCCTGGGACTAGTCTTATTGTGCCAATGTTTGAATGTTACGTATCAGGTGCTCCTTTGGATCAGTTTTGTGATCTACATCAGTTGTATGTTTGTATTAAGCCTGACCTCTTCTGATGTTACCTGACCATGACTTTGTTGTGTGTATATAATGTACTGTTTTTTTATCAAAGGTGTTGATATCTATACATGTCAAAGAGAACATTCACCGAGCCCTCTCTCATAATGTGAGAGTGGGTTTAATATGTCTTTGTACTGATATGTTCTCTAGTATATGGTTGTTGTGGAAAATAATGAATTTATATTGATATTATGTGATCATTGTCCAACTTTTGATAAATGGACCTGAGACAGAATTCAAGACCTCAAAACTACAGACATTAAAAGCCCTGATCCACCACATTCACCAAGGTTATCTCTCATGCAGCAGTCAAGATTATCTATCATCTTCACTCAGCACTGGTGTAATTCTAGACATCACATGTAACCTATGTGTGGGGACTTTGTATTGATGAGATTTTTCTCGTATCAGCAAACTCATCATTTGATACTCTTACTGAAATCTCACTTTCAATACCAGCAAGGATACCCAAAAGTATACTGGCACATGATTCTGGGATTTAATTTAAGTAGTCATAGTCATATTAAAAAAATTCTGTAGAATACTAGTTTAAAAATATAAACAGCATGAAGTATATATACTTAGATTTTCATTCCGGTTGGTGTTGGTTATATCCTGTGGTTGTTTGACTTTGAAACTCTTAACCATATCTGAGGCATTTAAGTAGTGAGTGTCATCATTTTTAAATTTGTGTACAAGATATTTTAAGGCAGAGTGCCACTATTTTTAAATTTGTGTACGAGATATTTTAAGGTAGAGAGTGCCACCATTTTTAAATTTGTGTACAAGATATTTTAAGGTAGAGTGCCACTATTTTTAAATTTGTGTACCAGATATTTGTAGGTAGAGAGTGCCACTATTTTTAAATTTGTGTACGAGATATTTTAAGGTAGAGAGTGCCACCATTTTGTGTACGAGATATTTTAAGGTAGAGAGTGCCACCATTTTGTGTACGTACAGATATTCAAAACTGACTTATTTCTGTATTTCATATCATTTCCTTATTTACAAAATAAGTCAATTTTCATCATTTTCAGGGAGTTGAAATATTTGACAAGTACCAACAAACCCTGCTGACTGTATATTGGGTCAGTGGAAAATAATTGATAAATAGTTAACAGTTGTACTAATTAAACGATGTAAAAGTAATATTTTTGTATAAAGGCAAATTTGTTTAATAAATGTATTTATTTTGTACAGAATTTTATAAATCTTGTACTTAATTGGTAAGCTACTTTAGCCAGTGAGAAATGCCAAACCAACAGGACCTGTTCTCAGTAAGGCTAAAGGGTGCTGGTATTCTCTACCAAATTATCTATGTAATTGTCTGTGATATTATTGTTTGATTAATCAGTGTTAGTTGTGCGTTTTTTTATTGATCAGGTATAGCTTCAACAATGACAGCTTGTCATGTGACTAGTTGATCAGGTATGGCTTCATCAACATCAGTGTGTCATGTGACTAGTCGATCAGGTAAGGCTTCATCAACGACAGTTTGTCATGTGACTAGTCGATCAGGTATGACTTCATCAACGACAGTGTGTCATGTGACTAGTCGATCAGGTATGGCTTCATCAACATCAGTGTGTCATGTGACTAGTCGATCAGGTATGGCTTCATCAATGACAGTTTGTCATGTGACTAGTCGATCAGGTATGACTTCATCAACGACAGTGTGTCATGTGACTAGTCGATCAGGTATGGCTTCATCAACATCAGTGTGTCATGTGACTAGTCGATCAGGTATAACTTCATCAACGACAGTGTGTCATGTGACTAGTCGATCAGGTATGGCTTCATCAACGACAGTTTGTCATGTGACTAGTCGATCAGGTATGGCTTCATCAACGACAGTGTGTCATGTGACTAGTCGATCAGGTATGGCTTCATCAACGACAGTGTGTCATGTGACTAGTCGATCAGGTATGGCTTCATCAACGACAGTGTGTCATGTGACTAGTCGATCAGGTATGGCTTCATCAACGACAGTTTGTCATGTGACTAGTCGATCAGGTATGACTTCATCAACGACAGTGTGTCATGTGACTAGTCGATCAGGTATGGCTTCATCAACGACAGTGTGTCATGTGACTAGTCGATCAGGTATGGCTTCATCAACGACAGTGTGTCATGTGACCTATGCCAGGAATAGATTTTGTCCTCTGTCCTAATAATTACCGGCATGTCATGTTTGCATCAATCAAGAATTATTATATCTGTATATCTTAGTTGAGTTGTTAAAATTTGAAGTTTATATAATTTTGTAGATTTGGTAAATATGTCCACTTGTAGTCAAGTGGTTATTTCCATTTGTTCGTTTGACTTACCTGGAAATTAAAAAAAGGCAGTCATTGATCAATGATAAAAAAGGACCAGTTCTTTGTCTAGTCAATGTGTATGTTTTCTTTATTATAGTGACTATTTATAGCTATTTAAAGGTAATCAAGATATTTTTGATGGAAAATTAGAAAAATAAAAAACATTCTTCACTGTATAATGGAATTATATATGTTTCTCTTTGTCTATCTACATTTACATGTATACCTGGTAGATTTGTGTATAAGTTTATCTACATTTACATGTATACCTGGTAGATTTGTGTATAAGTTTATCTACGTTTACATGTATACCTGGTAGATTTGTGTATACGTCTATCAACATTTACATGTATACCTGGTAGATTTGTGTATAAGTTTATCTACGTTTACATGTATACCTGGTAGATTTGTGTATAAGTTTATCTACATTTACATGTATACCTGGTAGATTTGTGTATAAGTTTATCTACATTTACATGTATACCTGGTAGATTTGTGTATAAGTTTATCAACATTTACATTTGTGTATACCTGGTATACCTGATTTGTGTATAAGTTTATCTACATTTACATGTATACCTGGTATACCTGATTTGTGTATAAGTTTATCTACATTTACATGTATACCTGGTAGATTTGTGTATAAGTTTATCTACGTTTACATGTATACCTGGTAGATTTGTGTATAAGTTTATCTACGTTTACATGTATACCTGGTAGATTTGTGTATACGTCTATCAACATTTACATGTATACCTGGTAGATTTGTGTATAAGTCTATCTACGTTTACATGTATACCTGGTAGATTTGTGTATAAGTTTATCTACGTTTACATGTATACCTGGTAGATTTGTGTATAAGTTTATCTACATTTACATGTATACCTGGTAGATTTGTGTATAAGTTTATCGACGTTTACATGTATACCTGGTAGATTTGTGTATAAGTTTATCTACGTTTACATGTATACCTGGTAGATTTGTGTATAAGTTTATTTGTGTATAAGTTTATCTACGTTTACATGTATACCTGGTAGATTTGTGTATAAGTTTATCGACGTTTACATGTATACCTGGTAGATTTGTGTATAAGTTTATCGACGTTTACATGTATACCTGGTAGATTTGTGTATAAGTTTATCTACATTTACATGTATACCTGGTAGATTTGTGTATAAGTTTATCGACGTTTACATGTATACCTGGTAGATTTGTGTATAAGTTTATCGACGTTTACATGTATACCTGGTAGATTTGTGTATAAGTTTATCTACGTTTACATGTATACCTGGTAGATTTGTGTATAAGTTTATCGACGTTTACATGTATACCTGGTAGATTTGTGTATAAGTTTATCTACGTTTACATGTATACCTGGTAGATTTGTGTATAAGTTTATCTTTATCTACGATTTACATTGGTAGATTTGTGTATACATGTATACCTGGTAGATTTGTGTATAAGTTTATCTACATTTACATGTATACCTGGTAGATTTGTGTATAAGTTTATCTACGTTTACATGTATACCTGGTAGATTTGTGTATAAGTTTATCTCTGTTTACATGTATACCTGGTAGATTTGTGTATAAGTTTATCTCTGTTTACATGTATACCTGGTAGATTTGTGTATAAGTTTATCTACATTTACATGTATACCTGGTAGATTTGTGTATAAGTTTATCTACGTTTACATGTATACCTGGTAGATTTGTGTATAAGTTTATCTCTGTATACATGTATACCTGGTAGATTTGTGTATACGTTTATCTACGTTTACATGTATACCTGGTAGATTTGTGTATAAGTTTATCTCTGTATACATGTATACCTGGTAGATTTGTGTATAAGTTTATCTACGTTTACATGTATACCTGGTAGATTTGTGTATAAGTTTATCTACGTTTACATGTATACCTGGTAGATTTGTGTATAAGTTTATCTACGTTTACATGTATACCTGGTAGATTTGTGTATACGTCTATCAACATTTACATGTATACCTGGTAGATTTGTGTATAAGTTTAACATGTATACCTGGTAGATTTGTGTATAAGTTTATCTACGTTTACATGTATACCTGGTAGATTTGTGTATACGTCTATCTACGTTTACATGTATACCTGGTAGATTTGTGTATAAGTTATTATTTACATACCTGTTTTGTGTATTTACATTTACATGTATACCTGGTAGATTTGTGTATAAGTTTATCTCTGTTTACATGTATACCTGGTAGATTTGTGTATAAGTTTATCTACGTTTACATGTATACCTGGTAGATTTGTGTATAAGTTTATCTACGTTTACATGTATACCTGGTAGATTTGTGTATAAGTTTATCTCTGTTTACATGTATACCTGGTAGATTTGTGTATAAGTTTATCTACGTTTACATGTATACCTGGTAGATTTGAGCATAATTATCATCTAATTTATCGTTTTTATCCTATTGGTAGGGTACGTTTACATGATAACTACGTCTTATTTTAATGTCACACCTTTTTCCCATTTTTTATCCACACAGATCTATTGGTAGGGTATTCTCTCATACAATTCTCTGCCTCCCATGTATTCCAGAAATTATTATAAAAAATTCTTTTGTCAAGACAAAAAATATCTTAAAAATAAATTGAGAATTTGTTAAATTCCTCCTCCCCCCCCCCCCCCAATTTTTTTTTAAAAATCAAACTGACCTTAGTAATACAGAAACATTAAAATTGTATCTTATTTACTTTAACCCACTTTCTAATTATTGAGTAGTGAAGTCTACACATGCTGCCAATTTAGTTATCTGTTTGATTGAAATGACATAGATGTACATGTTGACATTTTGTGGTTTTATTCCCTGAAGATGAAAACAGTAGGGGATGCAGTCAAGTTCTACATCATCTATTTCAAACAGGAAGTTTTCTGCATTTTCTCAAATGTTAACTTGGATAATTTTGCTTTAACAAATTTCAAACTTTTTTTAAAAATGCAACGAGCTAAATTTATCAAACAAATTCTGATTTGATTTCAAACTGTTGCAATAGTGACATGCACAAGCATTAGTTTTATCTAAACTGCTAAAAGTCATCCCCATAAAGATTATGTTGGTTGTTACCATGTAAAGATTCCATATCATAATAGATGTCTAATTGTGATACAACAATGCTTGACCAGTACTTTTTACTGTCGACACAAACAAGTGCTTATTGTATCAGAGGTATACACATTTATGAATGTTATACTTTTTATTCAGAAAGTGACCATTTTATTTTTAATTACTTATTTGAAATAAAAAATATGTATATGTTTACTGCAACATTTTGTGCAATAACACAAAAGAATATGATTTTTAAATGATCAATCAAATAAACTTCAATACATACTGGTGTCAGCGTTGTCTATTCTACCAATACATACTGGTGTCAGTGTTGTCTATTCTACCAATACATACTGGTGGTGTCAGTGTTGTCTATTCTATCAATACATACTGGTGTCAGCGTTGTCTATTCTACCAATACATACTGGTGGTGTCAGTGTTGTCTATTCTATCAATACATACTGGTGTCAGTGTTGTCTATTCTACCAATACATACTGGTGTCAGTGTTGTCTATTCTATCAATACATACTGGTGTCAGCGTTGTCTATTCTATCAATACATACTGGTGTCTGTGTTGTCTATTCTACCAATACATACTGGTGTCAGTGTTGTCTATTCTATCAATACATACTGGTGTCAGTGTTGTCTATTCTACCAATACATACTGGTGTCAGTGTTGTCTATTCTATCAATACATACTGGTGTCAGCGTTGTCCATTCTACCAATACATACTGGTGTCAGTGTTGTCTATTCTATCAATACATACTGGTGTCTGTGTTGTCTATTCTACCAATACATACTGGTGTCAGTGTTGTCTATTCTATCAATACATACTGGTGTCAGTGTTGTCTATTCTACCAATACATACTGGTGTCAGTGTTGTCTATTCTATCAATACATACTGGTGTCAGCGTTGTCCATTCTACCAATACATACTGGTGTCAGCGTTGTCCATTCTACCAATACATACTGGTGTCAGTGTTGTCCATTCTACCAATACATACTGGTGTCAGCGTTGTCTATTCTACCAATACATACTGGTGTCAGCGTTGTCTATTCTACCAATACATACTGGTGTCGTCTATTCTACCAATACATACTGGTGTCAGCTTGTCCATTCTACCAATACATACTGGTGTCAGCGTTGTCCATTCTACCAATACATACTGGTGTCAGCGTTGTCCATTCTACCAATACATACTGGTGTCAGCGTTGTCCATTCTACCAATACATACTGGTGTCAGCGTTGTCCATTCTACCAATACATACTGGTGTCAGCGTTGTCCATTCTACCAATGCATACTGGTGTCGTCTATTCTACCAATACATACTGGTGTCAGCGTTGTCTATTCTACCAATACATACTGGTGTCGTCTATTCTACCAATACATACTGGTGTCGTCTATTCTACCAATACATACTGGTGTCGTCTATTCTACCAATACATACTGGTGTCAGCGTTGTCCATTCTACCAATACATACTGGTGTCAGCGTTGTCCATTCTACCAATACATACTGGTGTCAGCGTTGTCCATTCTACCAATGCATACTGGTGTCGTCTATTCTACCAATACATACTGGTGTCAGCGTTGTCTATTCTACCAATACATACTGGTGTCGTCTATTCTACCAATACATACTGGTGTCGTCTATTCTACCAATACATACTGGTGTCGTCTATTCTACCAATACATACTGGTGTCAGCGTTGTCCATTCTACCAATACATACTGGTGTCAGCGTTGTCCATTCTACCAATACAAAAAACTGGTGTCAGCTTGTCTATTCTACCAATACATACTGATGTAAGCATTGTCTATTCTACCAATACATACTGGTGTCGTCTATTCTACCAATACATACTGGTGTCGTCTATTCTACCAATACATACTGGTGTCAGCGTTGTCCATTCTACCAATACATACTGGTGTCAGCGTTGTCCATTCTACCAATACAAAAAACTGGTGTCAGCTTGTCTATTCTACCAATACATACTGATGTAAGCATTGTCTATTCTACCAATACATACTGGTGTCGTCTATTCTACCAATACATACTGGTGTCGTCTATTCTACCAATACATACTGGTGTCAGCGTTGTCCATTCTACCAATACATACTGGCGTCAGCGTTGTCCATTCTACCAATACATGGTGTCAGCTGTCTATTCTACCAATACATACTGATGTAAGCATTGTCTATTCTACCAATACATACTGGTGTCGTCTATTCTACCAATACATACTGGTGTCGTCTATTCTACCAATACATACTGGTGTCAGCGTTGTCCATTCTACCAATACATACTGGTGTCAGCGTTGTCCATTCTACCAATACATACTGGTGTCAGCGTTGTCCATTCTACCAATACATACTGGTGTCAGCGTTGTCCATTCTACCAATGCATACTGGTGTCGTCTATTCTACCAATACATACTGGTGTCAGCGTTGTCTATTCTACCAATACATACTGGTGTCGTCTATTCTACCAATACATACTGGTGTCGTCTATTCTACCAATACATACTGGTGTCAGCGTTGTCCATTCTACCAATACATACTGGTGTCAGCGTTGTCCATTCTACCAATACAAAAAACTGGTGTCAGCTTGTCTATTCTACCAATACATACTGATGTAAGCATTGTCTATTCTACCAATACATACTGGTGTCGTCTATTCTACCAATACATACTGGTGTCGTCTATTCTACCAATACATACTGGTGTCAGCGTTGTCCATTCTACCAATACATACTGGCGTCAGCGTTTTCCATTCTACCAATACAAAAAACTGGTGTCAGCTTGTCTATTCTACCAATACATACTGATGTAAGCATTGTCTATTCTACCAATACATACTGGTGTCGTCTATTCTACCAATACATACTGGTGTCGTCTATTCTACCAATACATACTGGTGTCAGCGTTGTCCATTCTACCAATACATACTGGCGTCAGCGTTGTCCATTCTACCAATACAAAAAACTGGTGTCAGCTTGTCTATTCTACCAATACATACTGATGTAAGCATTGTCTATTCTACCAATACATACTGGTGTCGTCTATTCTACCAATACATACTGGTGTCGTCTATTCTACCAATGCATACTGGTGTCAGCGTTGTCCATTCTACCAATACATACTGGTGTCAGCGTTGTCTATTCTACCAATACATACTGGTGTAAGCATTGTCTATTCTACCAATACATACTGGTGTCGTCTATTCTACCAATACATACTGGTGTCGTCTATTCTACAAATACATACTGGTGTCAGCGTTGTCTATTCTACCAATACATACTGGTGTCAGCGTTGTCTATTCTACCAATGCATACTGGTGTCGTCTATTCTACCAATACATACTGGTGTCAGTGTTGTCTATTCTACCAATACATACTGGTGTCGTCTATTCTACCAATACATACTGGTGTCAGTGTTGTCTATACTGGTATTGCATTGATCTTTGGTTTAGGCGTTCAAGTGCAATATGTCGAAGAAAAAATTCTGCACATCCCACCCCCCTCTCTTTCTCTCATTCTGCTTTTCGAGTAAATGTAAAAAATATGTACATACAAGGAATGAAAGACAATTGCAGTAAATCACTCAAGCCTTTGTCATGGGGAAAAAAAGAAACTGAAAGAAATTTGGCTTTCTATGTTTTTATTCTGAAAAGGTTGAACCCTCCACAGGACTGAGCCCTGATAGATCAGAAACACAAATTCTAGATTTCATGTCATCTTACTATTATCATACTATACATGTGTATGGGAACAGAGGACATCCAAACATCACCTTTAACAAGTGAAAACCTACAACATGATTGGCAATAATGCATTAAAATACTATTTAATAAATTCATTTACATAAAACAATCTTTAACATCCTATACATTTGGATGCTGATGAAAATTTCGTTCTCACATGATTATGAAAATAATATTATTCACATGAGCAAAATCTTCAGTCCAAGCCATCTGCTGGAAAAGTAAGATACTATTTTGTTAAAAGGACAGATGGACGGACAGATAGAAAAGCAATATGTTATCTTGAAAAGTAATAGAGTTGAGGGGAAAGCGAGTTCAACATACACTGTCATATACAACAAAACTGTCATTCTTACACACTATATATATCTGAATATAGAAAATTAACATACTTGTATGTTAAAACAAGAGGCCCAAGGGCCTTAACGGTCACCTGAGTCACAATGCTTCTTGTAACATGTTAAGAAATGATTTTCTTAAAAACAAGTAATATAAATTTAACCTGTACTTCAAATGCAAAATGTAAATTGTGTATACATTAACAGTTGTCCTATGCTAAGGCTTCTAACCAAGTTTGAATTAAAAGAAATTACACTCAAGATTTAATTTTCCTACGGTATATAAAATCTTCCATCCAGGAGCAGCAGAGCATCTTTGAAATTTCAGTCAATTTGACCCTTTTTTGGCACCACCCATTAGTTCCTGGAGGTCAGTCAAAGTCAAGATGTGCATCTCATCAAGCTGTCAGCTTATCCTAATGAGAAAGAACAATCTAACCATGTTTGAACAATTTCTGAATGAAAATGAACAAGTTTTGCTGAAAAATGTAATTTTCTTATATAAAATAGAGTAAATTTTACCCCCTCCCCAAGGCGAAATGTGAGACCCTGAGGTCCTAAAATTCACAATTTCTATAAAGCACCAGAAGAAACTTTGATCTAAGAAGAATATTTGGTTCTACATTCTCTAGGTATTAAGAAGAATTTTTTTTTAAAATTTCAATCAATTTGACCAAGTTTTGGCACCACCCATTAAGCCCTGGAGGTTCATTCAAGGTCAATATTTGCATGTCATCGAATTGTAAGCTTATACTAATAACCCAAAAATCTAACCAAATTTGAACTATTTCTAGGGGAAAAAAAATTATGCTCAAAAATGTAAATTTCCTATATAAAATAGAGTAAATTTTACCCCCTCCCCAAGGCATTATGCAAGACCCTGAGGTCATGAAATTCACAATTTTTATAAAGCACCATAAGAACCCATACATGAAGAGTATTTGGTTCTGTATTATATAGGTATTGAGAAGAAGATTTTTGAAATTTCAGTCAATTTGACCTATTTTTGGCACCATCCAACAGCCCCTGATAGTCATACTTTGTCTCAGGTGATCTAATAAAACAGAAATTTATAACATAATTTGAAGGACAACCTTGGCAAAGTTTACTATTTTTATGAACAATCAAACAAATTGTTTTCTATGAAATGTTCACCTAGAGTATAGTGCTAAGTGGTAGTATTTGTGGTGGATTCAATTTTACTACATATGTGGTCATTAAAGATAGCATGAATCTAAGTAACATTTTACAGTAAACCACACTGTAAGGAAATGTATGTTGTATATGCCTGTATACATGGATACCAAGCAATAGACATGCAAACAATTCAATCCCAGTAAACTAGCACAAACTAGGACAAAGCCCTGGAAAATTAAAAAGGCCTACAGGCTTTAAGGGTCATCTGACTATAAAGACTTATATATGAAAGAGGCCAAACAGGCCTAAAAGACGGTAAATTGCCCAACTACACTACAGCTTGCATAGAAGACTTTGGTTGGTTCATTTTCTGCAAACTTGAAAGCATATTCTTTCTATATGTACTACACAAATGCCATTAATCCGGACATGTTGCTTATTGAAAAAGCATGCTACAGGCCCAATATTAAGACCCTTGGCCTTTTGGTTATTGAGAAGAAGTTGCTTATGCATTCAACACATTTGACAGTTGTGACATTGACAGCATGTCAAGGTGAACAAACATGGTAGCCCTTCATCCCATCATGCTACAGGCCCAATATCAGCACCCAGAGCCTTCTGGTCATTTGAATGAAAAATTTACACACAGCAGGCAGCACCCGACAGCGGATGATACAAGATGGCTATAGGTCATTCTGACCCTTCAGGTCAGATGACCTAAAAACTTAATAGCATGTAGCAATATATCATAAGTTAATTGATTCTAGCTGAGCACCATCTTACTAAACTTGACACCCATTGCTGTTTGATATTTATACAATTTTTTCGATCTCTTCACTTCTTCAACATAAGTGCTAGCAATTATAATCTTAAATGTCAAAAAGGAGATGGCCACCAATCAACAATTATTTTTTCTTATCAGTTCTATAAAAGACAATGCACAGGAAGGCAAGGGACCAAGTGGAATCTACAAATAAAGTTCTAAAAAGATCCATCCAGTAAATCAGTCAAAAAACAAAGCAGTAACAAACATTCCAGGTCACAATCTAAGATGATGCCCCTCAGTTTATCAAAATTGTTCATGTAATACAAGGGACCATGAGGACCTATGTATGAAAGTTAAGTACTATGTACTGCGAAGATAAATAGTAATAATCAACTTGAACTGTCCAGGTCTGTGACAGCAACTTAGCCATTTTACTTTCCTGCTCAGTCTCGAAATAGACAGATCCCTACGAGGGATGAATGGGAATCTACACATGAAATTTGAGAATGTAATGATAATTTTCCAGTCAAAATCAAAGATGGCCACCAGTCCATCCTCTTTTCTCTCTCTCTTCATTCTGAGCAGCGCAAAATGAAATGGGCACCACTTTGAATGAAAAGGGTATCTACACATTTAATTTGAAAATGATTCATTCAGTACTTTGCAAGAAATGACAGCAACAAACTTTCATAGTTGAATTCAAATTTTGCTTTCTGTTAGCCATTTCCAATCAGTCGTTCTGTAGAAATAGTATTAACAATTGTTCTTTAACAATGGATGACAAACCTTGGATGCAACTGAATCAAACAGCTTATCTGTTGACAGCAGGCTAACAAGAGGCCTAGCATCCTTGACAGTCACCTGAGATAAGCAATATTGAATATAAAAGTTAAGGGATAGTTATCAAGTGTCATGAAACAGAAATTGTGACACTGAGTATAGTAAGTCAGTGTTAATACATATATACCATCAAAACTGTCATTCTATACTGATAATTTTTATAAAGTTATTTCCAAAATAATTTCAAAAATGCAATTTTTCTATGGAAATTACAGTAAAATCCAAAAAGAAACATATTCCTCCCAAGGAAGAAATGTTAGACTCATTTTGGTAATTAAAGCACCTCAAGATGCTTCCATTCATGAAGAGGAACTGATTCTAATATCTGGGTCTTCAGAAGAAGATTTTTAAAATTTAAAATCTATTTGACTATTTTGTTCCCCACCCATCAGACCCTGGGGTCAGTCAGGATCAAAATGGGCATACCATCAAGACGTCATCCTTCACTCATAATTCTAGCCAAGTTTTACATATTTCCAATGGAAATCAAACAAATCATGCTCAAAAATCTTGTTTTATTATATGTAAACTATAGTAAACTTTACTCCCTTCCCACAACGAAATGTGAGACCCTGGGGCCATGAAATTCACAATTTTGGTAAAGCACCTTAAGATGCTTCCATCCATGAAGAGTATTTGATTCTATCATATCTGGGTCTTGAGAAGAAGATTTTTGAAATCCAAGTCAATTTGACCCTTTTTTGGCCCTCAGGCCCCTAGGGAGTTGGGACTGTATACTTCACAACTTTGGTTCATCTTAGGCCAAGGAACGTTTCTGCAAAACTTCATTGAAATAGGATCAGGGGTTTTAGAGAAGAAGTCGCAAATGTTAAATTGTACATGGACGCAAGATGCCAGATGAAGAAGATTAGAATAGGTTACCATGAGACTTTATCTCAGGTGATCAAAGAATATAGATACCAGTACTCAAGCACTTGATATGATCACTGTTTCTGATTTTCCTGATGGACTTCCATACACATTTCTGTACATACAATTCTACATTAAATCAACTCTATTTAATCAAAACACAACTTTCAAAACTCAAAGCATTCCAAATAACTGATTTCTAGTAGTTTGAAATTCACAGCTTAATAATGTAATGGTATTTGTCAAATTTCTATCTCTTAAATTCAATGAAATTGCTGGAAATGTTAATTAACATTCTGATGATGCCAGTTATATTTCAAAGATAATACAATAAACACTATATATACACATTACACTGGATTCTCCCAGTTTTGTAAACCTCATTAACGTGTGCAATATCACATTATGACCCTTCAATTAAGATAATGCTTGTCATTCAATCCATTTGTTTCCGAATTCATCAGAAAAATATACAAAAAACCTGGCAACAGCAGTGTTTCCTTTAAAGATAAATATATCAGCCGTTAGTCACTTTTTTTATTATTCTCAATTTTCAAATATGCACAGCTAGGTACCCAGAGAAGTTTACATGTGAAATTTCAGAATGATCCATTATGTACTTTTCAAAAAAAAAAGTGACAACTTTCAAATACAATATGTCCATCTGTCACCTGTTTTGTTTTTTCGAGAAGTCTCAAAATATAAGATTCACATCAAAGGACCAAGGAGAGTCTACCTAAGAAATCTCAGGTCAATCTAGTGTATGAAACAACAACAACTTCTTAAGAATAGGCAGACTGATGGAGGGAATATTGGACGGATGGACGACAGACCAATGACCAATGGCAATTTGAACAGCTCACCATATGGTGTTGGGGTAAAAAAATACTATAATATGTATAATGTGTAGTGCCTATGGACAGGGAAGTCAAATGGAACATAGAGCGTGCTGGAAGTTTTAACAATTACAACCTACTTCACCTGAAGGTAATCCAAGAAGTTATGAGTTTATCAGTGTTTGTTTACTAGTATGTATATTTTTCTATATACTACTTCATTATCTTCACTCTCAGGGATTGTTTTTGAGTTACCACAAAGGTAACATACATAGCCAAGGTTGGGCCAAATTAAAGAGAACATTTAGTCTACACAACGATAAGAGTACAATGGTAATTTTTCATGCTTTAAAATGTATTGCCTTCAGTTGGTACACATGAAATTAGTTTTCAAGACATTTACACTGGGGACTTCTAAGTTCTAGCTTATATGTGTAAAGGGGCATAACTCAGAGAAAAAAGTCAAATTAAAAACAAAACCACCTATCCGAAATAAATTCGCAATTAAGTCAATTTCTTACAATATTTTGTTATTAGTTCTGTATCTGTTTCTAGTTTAAAGAGATAGAGGACAAATATTGCATGTCCAAAACATTGAACAGGAGGACAAATGTTTATTTTACACATGTGATGATAAATAATCTGAATATTTTATTATTTTACCGGTAAAAAAAGAAATGGAGACGAAACATCATTAACTACATCGCATCATGTGTATGATGCAAAAATACACAGGAATGGTGTTAATTAATGAAGGACTTAGGCACAATCAAAATCATTCCTCACAAGTATACATGGACAGGTTAAACAAGACTACCATTTACCTTATCCATGTTAAAATATTACAAATAATTCCTAAAATATATAACTGCTATATATATGATAAATAGTAATACTACTGTTTTATCAATCAAATCAGTTTCACCTTCTGTTATATCTCTTCCTTAATCAATTTCCTGTCTGTGGTTTGCTTATCCATTTACTAAGAAAGAGATGTTTAAATGAAGAAACTTGATCACCAAACTTCCACCAAATTCATCTCATATAGTACAATCCCTCTTTATCATAATTCAAAGGGCTTCAATGCTACGCTACCAGTCACAGTATTTGAGAATAGTAACTTCAATCTTTTAACTTCAGAAATTTCAACAGCAGCACAGCTTGTAAGTCATTAAAATATGACGGGACTTATTTCCTTACACTAGCTATACATCAACAAGGGCTGTCCATGATACATTAATGACTGCTGACAGTTCATATATGTACAAGTATCAATGAGAGTTGATCATGACCCTTGTTGATAAACATTGTGATGAGAAACTGGCATCCTTTTCTGCATTTCTGCTGGATGTGCCACCAGGTTAGGAGTAGCACTGGTAGAATAGGGTGTTGTTTGTATGGGTACCATAGTGGGAGTGTGGGTTGCTTCCATTTGTATAACCCCACCCTGAGTGTTGGTTGGCAGATTCTCCAGGAATCTCAAAGTCTCCATGTAGCCAAGTAGTGTTGAGAACGTCTGTGCTGAGGGCGTCTGTCTAGCATCTGAGGTCTGCAAGACAGTCGGACGAGTACCTTGTTCTCGTACTGGCTGGTATTGAACCTGGTCCAACACTCCATTAGTACGTACTAGCTCCATGTTGGCATCCTTGTTGGCGATCATATGATGTTGCTGTGGCTGAGTCAGATACATAGTTGTACCCTGGTGCTGCATTGGTCTGTAGTCATTCCCGCCAATCACTCCTGCGTCCATTGTTTGGTTAACATTGACGTGACGGATTCCTTGATTACCAACTTCCACTGTGTACCGCTCAACCTGCATCTGATTGGCTGGGGCTATGTGTAGGGTCTGCTGCATCTGAGCTGGCTGCTGCTGCTGCTGCTGCGTCATGGTTGCCATAGTGATGACTGGTTGGGCATTGATATTTTCATAAAGGTGTATTGGAAGCGGTACATCACGGGTCTCTGTTGGTATAGCATGAATAGGGTACGGGTTATTCAGCGATGGTTGTGAGGTGACTAGTACAGCAGGCTCCTCTCTCATAGTTGGCATAGCAACAGCTGCCTCTATCCTCTCATAATGTTTCACCTGTCTTTCTTTCTTTTCCCCCCGGGGAGCACGGGGAGGCTTGGCATTAGGGTTGTCCCCAGAGTGAGATGACCGCAGGTGGCGTGTGAGATGATCTTTACGTCCAAACCTTTGTGGGCAATACTGACACAAAAAGTCTTTTTTCTTTGTATGCGTTATCATATGTCTACGTACATCTTTTTTAGTGTAAAACTTTTTACAACAATCTACGCACTCATGTGTTTTTTCTAAGCAGTTTTTCACAGACCTTGCACCACTATGAACTTTGAGATGATAGAGAAGTTCCTCACGAGTCTCATGTTCTTTGTGACAGATACCACATTCGGTCGTCCTCCCAGACTCTGCATCATGGAAAGCTTTGTGAGTTCTATATGAGAAATTATATGAATACTCCTTGCCACATTCCTCACAAACCCAGCGCTTCTTGTTGGGGTCATGTGTAATAAGATGGTTCTTTAGATGGTCTTTACGATTAAAGGACTTGTCACAGTAAGGACACTTGTGGTGACGTGGACAGGTGTGTATCAGACGATGTCGCTCTAGTTTGAACTTTGACATAAATCCTTTTTTACAGTCTTCGTCCTCACAAATAAATGGCTTAATACCAGTGTGTTCAGCAACATGTATCACATATATGGCTTCCTTGGTGAATTTCTCAGCACAATAGGGGCATGTCATAGGTTCCCTTCTTGGACCCCTGGGAGTTTTTGGCTTGGGAATTTTCAAAAGTTTACGTTTCCGACCCCTTCTTTTTGGGATGATAGGCTCATCCTCCTCTTCCTCATCATCTTCATCGTCATCATCAACACCAAGGATGTCATTAAGCAGTTGATCTGTGGTAGGTTCCTCTAGATCCTCAGTCTCATTGAATGGAATAGGTTCTTCCATTTCTGGTGAGGCTGGTTTTTCAACCACCATCACTGCAGGCTTAATTTTTGGGGGTCTACCTCTCTTTCTGGGAACATTTGGTACCATTGGATCTTGTACCCTTGCCTTAGACAGACGAGCCTTGTCAAGTCGTGCTCTCCATGTTTTGGACGGTTTTACATATTTTCTTGGCCTTCCTTTCCTTGGCCTTCCTCTCAGTCTTTTACCACCAGGTGGCACCCCTGGACACATGTGAGCTTCTAATTCAGCAAACGTGCTAAATCCTTCAAAACATACTGAGCACACCCATTTGGCAGGAAATTCTGAAAAAAGAAACATATTCCATGAATATTCATCATGTGACTACCTATTGCATTCAAATCATTGGTGTTATAGACCTACATATGTGTTCCCTCCAGAGAGTCATCATCAGGAAGTAAGTCATTGTCGGGGTTTGTTGAAGTATATCAGGGTGTTATAGACCTACATATCTGCTCCCTCCAGAGAGTCATCATCAGGGTGTTATAGACCTACATACCTGCTCCCTCCAGAGAGTCATCATCAGGGTGTTATAGACCTACATACCTGCTCCCTCCAGAGAGTCATCATCAGGAAGTAAGTTATTGTTGGGGTTTGTTAAGTATATCAGGTGTTATAGACCTACATTTTTGCTCCCTCCAGAGTCATCATCAGGGTGTTATAGACCTACATTTTTGCTCCCTCCAGAGTCATCATCAGGGTGTTATAGACCTACATACCTGCTCCCTCCAGAGTCATCATCAGGGTGTTATAGACCTACATACCTGCTCCCTCCAGAGTCATCATCAGGGTGTTATAGACCTACATATGTGGTCCCTCCAGAGAGTCATCATCAGGAAGTAAGTCCTTGTTGGGGTTTGTTAAGTATATCAGGTGTTATAGACCTACATACCTGCTCCCTCCAGAGAGTCATCATCAGGGTGTTATAGACCTACATATGTGCTCCCTCCAGAGAGTCATCATCAGGGTGTTGGGGTTTGTTAAGTATATCAGGTGTTATAGACCTACATACCTGCTCCCTCAGGAGATTCATCATCAGGGTGTTATAGACCTACATACCTGCTCCCTCCAGAGTCATCATCAGGGTGTTATAGACCTACATACCTGCTCCCTCAGGAGATTCATCATCAGGAAGCATTTCTTTTCCCATCTTCTCTGCATAATCAGCTGAGTACCATACCTTCAGCTCAGTGTTCGATGGAATTGGCTGTAAATTTTACAAAAGTTGTATCAGTCTTTTCAAAAGTTTTAAATAGTTTGGATCTGGTGTTATACACTTCTCAGTGATAATCGATTTCAGTCTTTCTTTCAGCATTGGGTCTGCAGTGTTTACCAGGTATATATACCAGCCAAATATCATACCTCTAAGCCTGTGACCTTGAATATAGGTCAATGTCATTTTTCCCAAAACTTTGTCATGCTTAAACATACGAGCATACAAGCCAAATATCACGTCTCTAGGTATTTGACTATTTAATTATAAATTTGACTACTGTGACCTTGAATATAGGTCAAGGACATTTCTTTTTGCAAACTTTGTCAGGCTTGAGAAGCATTGTATGAAGTTTGATTCTAATTGTCCAAAGAAAACTTAAGTGATCTCACAAAACAAACTTTCTGTTTACAGCTACAAGCTACCAGGTATCTGGTATGTGTCACCTTTGGCAGCCAGGAAACACAAAACTAATAGAAACATTTAAGGTGTCTCTATCTCTACTTTCATCAAATTACTATCTATTTGTCTATTTGAACACACCAGATTTGTAGAAATTGTCCAACTAAAGACACTGGAAATGCACATGTTTCATGTGGTTTATCCAATTTTCCTTAACTTACAGGTGGTACAATTTCATAAAGTCAGTGACAATAATTAAGCATCAGAAAAGAGCTATTCATCATAAATTTGACAAAATTTCTGAATAATACATCTGAATGTTACATCTCAAGATACTTCTGAAATAGTCAATCTAAACATAAAAGGTAAGATACCTTGGTAGAAACATAGAATACATAGTCCTGGAATTGGTAAGCTACAAGGTTTTGTTCAGAGGCTGTTTTTGCTGGACGGATAAACATCATCCAGTTGCACTTGTCCTCATCAGTAAAGTCAAGGGTGTCGACATAACCATCCTCCTTGAAGACCTGATCAAGATTATATAAACATTTTAAAATCATACATATCTCAAAAGATAATATTATCTATGAAACCGATAAATGAAATAATCACTCAAATAAACAAGAGGCCCAGTGGGCCTTTTAGGCCTTTAAGTTCGTGAAAAGCAGTCATTTGAAGTTTTAACAATTTTGACCAAAGTGGACTTAAATACTGGTAAAGGTAATTCATTTCGCAAACTTTTTGGGCTTCATCCTAGGAACAAATCAGTCAAATATTATGTCTCTAGGCTTTTTAGTTCATGAGAATAGTCATTTATAGGCTTTAACAAATTTGGTCAAGGTCACTTCTTTTCGCACACTATATCAATATGTTTAGGCCTTTGGTTAATAAGAAGAAGTTCTTTAAAGTCAAAAGTTGATGCCCGGCAGACGGACAACGGATGTTGCAACACAAGCTCACTTGGCCCTTTGTAATAACAACAATACCATATGCTTTTAGTTTCAAGTCATTAAGATGAGAAGTGCAACAAACTCAAATGTCAGAAATATAGCATTTTTTGCACTTGTTAACACAAGAATTTCAAGACCTCAATTTGATCAAATGGATTGAAGACATCAAATAAATAGGATATTCATCTTATGAGAGATAGAAGCAGAACAAAATCTTGCACACAAGTGGTCAATGATTAAAGCAATATCGAAAATTATACCACCTTCATAAATATGGCCTTGCTGACTGCTTCCTTAAGTTGGCTTATATAAGAACATAAAACCCTACCTTCAGTTCATATTCTTGCTCAGCTGCAGTGTTGACTGGTTTTGGAGGTACCTCAGCTGATTCCAGTTGTATGACTGAGGAGTCCTTTGGTTCTGCCTTCTCAGCATTAGACAACGTAACAGATGTCTGTACTGATGTAGTTCTGTCCCCATCAGGTCCCACCTCGGATGTCTCCTCCTGCTGTTGCAGCATCTCCTCTGGTTGTAACACTATATCATTTGGTTGTTGTGATATCAGCTGTCCAGACTCCTGTTGGGGCAGTAACTCATCAGGAGGATTTTGTTGTAACAATTCACCAGATTGATGTTGCAACAGTTCACTGGCCTGATGAGACATCAATTCACTTGACTGCTGTTGAATCAAGCCTGTAATATTGTTAGTGTGGGAGACCTGAGTCCGATGAGGTCCTGACAAGACCTCCCCAGTTGCAGGGTTCACCAAGAGGCTGTCCCCTGTTGGAGTCACAGTCAATCCCTCTGTCAACTGATTTTGTGACGCTCCTAGTGTTAGGTTATCACTGACAAGCATCTGTGTAGATACCAGACCATGTAAGGTATTTACCGGAACAGCATTAACAACAACACGCCCCTCACTGTCCACAGTTACACGTGTTTCAAAGGACTGGTTTGGTATGTGAGTTAGCTGCTGCTCAGCCGTTTGACCGAGTCCTGCATTTGAAGACAGACTGTCAGTCACTGGTAGACCTGTCTCAATAGATGTTTGTAGGTTCAGCTCAGACCCAAATTGTGTTTGACTGGATAGTATATCACCCCCACTATTAAAGGATGGGAGAGCATTGGCAACATCAGTGAGTGAGTTAGCCGTAGATAGGTAACACTGTAGGCTCTGTGTCACTTCGGTATCAGTAAACGATGCTGGCTGCAGAGTCTGGGAGCTAGCTATAGATACACCCACCGGTACAATCTGTTGATTGCTTTGATTTTCAGAAACCATTCCATCAAAAAGATCTCCATCTACCAGCACTTTGTGACTGGTGCCTGTATCAAAGTTCTGCTGCGATTCTAATGGTGTCATTTCTGCAGGCAAACTCAAAGAGTTTTCTCCCTTCTGTTCTACATTAGAAGACTCTACAACTTTTTCATCGTTAACGTCTTCCTTCTCCGCAGCTATTTTTTCTTTTTCTTTATTCTTCTCACTTTCTGCTTTGGCTTGTTCTGTCGATGAAACTTTTGCCATGAAAGGACCAAACTGTGACTTAACTTGAACAATCCGCTTGGCAAATACACCATATCCTGAAAAGACAGCATACTGAATTGAAAAATATTGAAAAAGAATATAGATATTCAATTTCTATACAATGATCAGATATCATAAGAAAAACACATAAATTTAGAAAATTTCTGTGTAAGACATATATACACCCTTCCGCCAAGGCCTTGACCTTGGACCCCTGAAACACATCAATGTCCAAAACTTACTCATACTTGGTCTTTATATAAAAATCCATAAAAGAATTGAGCCACTAAGTGTTTAAATTATATCAGTTAATAATTTTCTAAACCAAGGTGACCTTGGCTTGAATTAAGCCCTTAAAACACAACAACATCCAAAGTATACACATAATTGACCTTTGCATAAATTTGGAACAAAATCTGTCAAAAGACTGAAGTTGCCAGGTACTTACATTGAATCAGGACACGATGGGATACAATGGGATGGGACAGGACAGAAATGCCCCCCAATTTTATGGCAGGGACATAATGAAATCCCCTCATAATGATAATGCTATTATAATAGCCTACCAAGCTGTATACATGTAGGTCATGTAAACTAGAAGAAAGAACTTTGGCTGTGTATCATCTTTAGAAATGTACACATAAGTGTGTGTATATATAAAGATAGATAACAAGAAAATACAATATTATCATGTGATGGTACTGTATTCAGCATCACATTGAGTTAGACATTTTTACAGGTTGTCAGAATGTTAAAAGAAGTGAGAAAAAGATTACTGCAATGATGCATTTATTATTTAGGAAGGTAATAAAATACACATCCTATTTAGCTAAGCCAATTTGACTTTAACTTACAATCATTGTATATATTACCAGTTTCTTTCAGGAGGGCAAGTTATCACTTTCCTCAAATGTCTCAGTTTAAACGTCTTTTACACTCAAGATTGATATTCAGTCAACAGCACTCACATTTCGCTTTGGAGTAAATTAAAAATTTGTTGGATACTTACTTAATTTTCCATCCTGCGTTTTGACTGGCTTAATGACAAGCCCCTGTGGGAGTGTCAGCCTGGCTCGAGAAGGAATGACATTGTCATACACTTGGTGAAAACCACCATGCTTTCTACACATTCCAGGTACACTCTTGCTGCATTCAGAGCACCCTGAAACAATTAAAAAAAACAATAATCAGTGTTCCAGCAAGGACTTGAAAAGGGTTTCATGTGTGTAGTAGACCTTGAGGTAATCACTGTCACCTCCAACCAACAACCAGTTGTTCAAGATACAATGAAGGCATCTAACTCTAGTGAGAAAGGTTTGGTCAAGTCTATTATTGGTAAATAAACTGGTGTTCATTTCCAGATTTTGGTAACATTTATATCACCTGATTACTGTGTTCATTTCTAGATTTCGGTAACATTTATATCACCTGATTACTGAACTTAAATAGCCATAATAGTGTTAAGTTACATTTAATTGTGCCACAATGCACTTCCTGTTTTGAAGCAGACAAGATGCACACCTTTCAATCATATATTGGACATTCTATAACATGTACCTGCAATTCATTGTTTCCATAATTAAAACAGCTTTTGAACTTGAAATGATTCCATACTTACAAAAGTCATCTTTTTTCAATGACATTTTGGAGACTTCCAGAAAGAGGAGGCTGAAATGTCAAGGTAAGAAATTAGGATTAGAAACATGACCAGCATAAACTGAGATTACTTTCATTCTATTTATACAATTATTGAATTACTTTTATTTCTTCTTTTAAAATGTGAATCACATGTGAATTTTTAACATTCTATATTCAATATTTTATAGTGTCAGATATATGGTTTCTGCATAACACAACTCACTGTAGTAGTGGAGCATGCTTCCGTTAAAAGCTAAGCTTGCCACAGTACTTGGAGCTGATGTACATGTGTAGTTTTTATGTCAGCAGAAAGTCTTTCCCTGCAGGCAAGCTTGATTCTTGGTAGAGATTTGAACAGAAATGTGTTTTTCAATGTTCTTTCAAATGGTGCTTGGAGAAATCCCACGAGAACTAAAGAGGATTTGTTCCTCATTTTTCATTAATCCTGATTTCATTTTATAGTCTTACTGATGTCAGTGTGTAGTGTCTAAGATCCAATCTCCCTCTTCAAATGGATGACAGCAGGAGCTCTCTCAACACCCTTTACCTTAGACTGGTGTATACTCATATTTTGAGGGAGGAATGAGGTCATGTGATGTCAAAGTGTTACTTAAGTGATAACAAGCAACAATACCTATAAAAGTTCAACAAGCTACAGCTATTTTCATTTACATAGAAAATAATTTTGATGTGAGGTTATCCACGAATACAATTTATTTTTATCATTTTTTTTTTAGCAGGGTCTATGTTTATGCAGATTTCAACACATAACATCCTGCAATCGCTTGGGTTCAAACTAGTGACTCTTCTGTCTCTAGCCGGACTTTCTACCACTCAACTGCAGAGAAGTTCCCCCTAACTAATGGCGATAAAACTACCTGTACTCTTAACTTCAACAACAACCCAGAGTTGATATCTAAAAAGGAAGCATCCTATAGCTTCTACCTTTGGAGTGGTCAATAGCATCAAATCTGTAATAGGAAGGAGTAATGAAAAACATCTACCACTGCTGGGGTCAAAACAAGCAACTTTAGTGGGGAATTCCCATTAGCTTCAATGTCTCCATGGAAGCAACTCAATCTCCAATAGCTTTTGCCCTTGGAGTGGTCAATGGTACCAAATCTGTAATTTGTAATGAAAAACAGTGTCTCTGTCGGGCTTCAAACAAACGACCCTTCAATCTCTAGCTGGACACTCTACTGCTCAACTAAAGGGAAAAGATTCCCATTTAACAATGCTTGTAATACAACCTGTACTCTCAATTTCTACATATGCAAGGTGAGTACAGGTGCTGAATGCAAGTGTGTTGGGAGGTTGAATTATGTTTATGTAGTATTTGCCTCCTTGTAAGAGTCTGAAACTTTTATAGTGCTATCACAAAGAAGTATATTGCCGAGGGCCTCCAGCAGGGTCACACCATCTGGTCAAATATGGAAATATTATATTGCTTATTTAGCAACCAATTAACAGCTGGCTGTTGATAGGCTGTTAAGCAATACAAGTAAACTAAGCCAAACCAAACTTCCCCTCACTCTCCAGTGAAGTTCATCTGATGTTATTGTATATGTAGGTATGATGTGATGCAATTGTAACATACTCCCTGGGTTTCCATTCTCTGAACTGTCATGTGACCTGTCTGACCATTTAGATTTTCCCAGGTTCTATGGTTTCCTCCCACAGTAAGACCCCGTGAGAGTGACTAGTTGAAATTGTTACCAATAAAATAAGTAAAGTTTGTAATCAATAACGTCCACAGTATTGAATGTTTGGTAATGTATGGGAAGTATGCAAGTTTTAGTTCAAAGTTTCTATAAACTTCAGTTAATTATAAGAAAATCAGATTGGATAGAATCACATCAAAAATGCTAAATCATAATATGTTGATAAGATTTAGATATTGCAGAATGCAATAATAAAGTTTTCTACAAGTTGATGTGGAATACCATCAAAGTTTTAATTTGTATTATCCCCCTTTATTTCTCCTAGCATAATTTGGAGAAAACAATTTTCTATAAATTTTGTAACAATATGTTGCAATGATAAATCTGAAATTGTTGATGATTTTGTCAACCTCTTCCTTTTTATCAAAACTAATTTGCCATTTGATTTTTTCCGTCAGAAAAAGTAATGAAACTAGTTTATGTGTGGTTCGGCATATAGCTGATGCAAGCGAGTTTCGAGTCCAAGGTGATCGCGAGATTTCACTCTGTGGTATTTGAAATTAAGGAAATTAAGACCGATATTTACTGAAGGAATTCTGACAGCTTCTTTAATAGAAATTAACTCCGTCGTCTAATTAACAAAATCACGTTTTACTCCAGACAGTCTTTATACAGGGTTTTCGCAAATACAGTGCGACAATCGATTTTATATGGCAGATTGATTTGTCATCGCAGAAATCTGATTCAGTTAATGTGTGAAGAGTACCATCCGAGTATGTTTCCTGGTTTTCTTGAGGCCTATTTAAATCTCTGACCAATACTTTATGTAATACACACTCATTCGTAACCACACACTACTGTAAGGTTTTAGAAATGAATCCACTCTCGCGGCGCACAGTGCTCTTGAGGTACCAGGGAGGGGTCAGGGCCCACACCAGGGAAATGGCTTCATGTAAATTCATGTTACAGCCAAAAAACAGTTAATGCAAGCATATGGGTTTCATGATCAATATAAAAGAATCAATTATTGAAATCTTACCGTCCTTAAATGTGTATTTGACAAAATTCTTCAAAAATTAGGACAAAGAATAATTTAGTCCCGTTGGTAGCCATTACCGCAGTGCATGATGGTACGAAGACGTGTGTGACGTATCTGTCATGGCCGCCTCTACGGCATCCTTAAGTTTAAGTGAAAAGGAAAGCAAAGTAGAGAAGAAAACGAAACATAAACACAATACAGCCGACCATTCTCTCAATTCAGCATGTCTACGAGTAAGTTATGAACCAATTCATTCTATCGCATATGCTTAAACGTATATACTCAATGTCCATGCTCATGATAGTAAGACAACATCTATTTTTAGCTCTACTTTCGTTATTAATCAAAATGGAAGAGTTATAAAACCAGTGTACTTGGTCTATGTTTATTCCATTTCCCTATCAAAATTTAGAAGTGTATACGTCTCTATAAAATTGTGCTATGAGAAGAGCACTGACTTCGTTTTAATTCATCTATGAAAATGGCCATGCAATCCATATCTCCATGGAAGCAACTCAATCTCCAATAGCTTTTGCCCTTGGAGTGGTCAATAGCACGAAATCTGTAATTTGTAATGAAAAACGTTGTGTCTCTGCCAGGCTTCATACAAACGACCTTTCAATGTCTAGCTGGACACTCTACTGCTCGACTAAATGGAAAATATTCCCACTTGACAATGCTTGTAATACAACCTGTACTCTCAACTTCTACATATGCAAGATGAGTGCACGTGCTGAATGCAAGTGTTTTGGGAGGCTGAATTAAGTTAATGTAATATTTGCCTTCTTTGTTAGAGTGTGGAACTTTTATAGTGCTATCACAAAGAAGTATATTGCCGAGGGCCTCAAGGGTTTATGCCATTTTCCCCATAAAAATTTAGAAGTATATACATCTGTATAAGATTGTGCTCTGAGAGGAGCACTGACTTCGTCTTATTTCATCTAAGGAAATGGCCATGCAATCCATATCAAGGAGTCCAAATCACAGGCGATCTAAAATAAATAGCGCTCATCAACAACAACACCTATAAATCTGCAACAAAAGAATGTTGAAGAACAGCATATATATTCCTGGTCTGATGAAGCAATTATCAGGGACCAATGAGACAGCAAAAACATACCAGGACAATGTGCAAATTAGAAAGCATATTAGGATGATGTGCAAATTAGAAAGCATATTAGGACAATGTGCAAATTAGAAAGCATATTAGTACGATGTGCAAATTAGAAAGCATATTAGGATGATGTGCAAATTAGAAAGCATATCAGGACAATGTGCAAATTAGAAAGCATATCAGGACAATGTGCAAATTAGAAAGCATATTAGGACAATGTGCAAATTAGAAAGCATATTTGGACAATGTGCAAATTAGAAAGCATATCAGGACAATGTGCAAATTAGAAAGCATATCAGGACAATGTGCAAATTAGAAAGCATATTAGGACAATGTGCAAATTAGAAAGCATATTAGGACAATGTGCAAATTAGAAAGCATATCATTGTGATGTGCAAATTAGAAAGCATACCAGGGTGATATGCAAATTCAAAAGCATACAGGACGATGTGCAAAATTCATTTATCAAAACATCTCACCAGTGGCATTGCATCGGGAAATATTTGATTATCAAAACATCTCACCAGTGGCATTGCATTGGGAAACATTGGACTGTCAAAACATCTCACCAGTGGCATTGCATCGGGAAATATTTGATTATCAAAACATCTCACCAGTGGCATTGCATTGGGAAACATTGGACTGTCAAAACATCTCACCAGTGGCATTGCATCGGGAAACATTGGACTGTCAAAACATCTCACCAGTGGCGTTACATCGGGAAACATTGGACTATCAAAGTGGAAGAAAAGGCATTTTAACTTGATGACATTGGCTTTTCTTTTCTTTTCAAATGTAGATAATATATTTACTTTGTCTCAAGGACAGTATGGGTTTATATTTCTCTTCTTAAAACATGGCATTTTATCTTATATTCATTATTAAGTGAACAATAGTATACTTAATTCCAAAACAGAAAGATATATCTGTATAAATTTAGCAGTTTGTTCTTATTTGGTGTCATACCTTAACCTGTTGACAAATTACACTCCAAAATTCTGGGATGCTCTCTAAAAGATACAAGATATGAGAATCCTAAAATTCTGGTCCTTTTGAAAGGGTGTTAAATACTCTGAAATTCTTGTCCTTTGGAACAGATACTGAATGAACTTTCTAAAATTCTGGTCCATTGAACAAGGGTCTGGTGTAAATAGTCATGCCTTACATATTTAAAGATCACTCGGCTGATTTTCAAAAAACAGTAGATTGCTATCCAACCTACTGAGTTTAGCTTTTAGGTATTGAATAGGTTGACATAAGTTTAGAGATGGTGAGCATCAGCATAGGTGTTTCCATGACAGTCCAAAAAGGTATTTCTTTCATTTAGAACTATATCTATGTTTATGTGTCATTTTTAGCCTGCCATAATCAATCACCAATCGCCCTATGTCCGTGGTCTATCCATCCGTCCGGGCAATTGCTGTTATAGTTACTGTTACATGAACAATAGAGTACGAGGTAACATGTTACCGTACTGTAGGTGATACAGTAATGTGTAAAAGGAAGGAGTAATGAAAAACTACCTGATCCGGCGGGGTTCCAACTAGTGACCTTTCAGTCGCTAGTCAGACTCTTTACCACGATCTGTACTCTCAACTTCTACACTACTCCCTCCTTCACTAAATCTTTGACCCTAAAGACAACAACAACCCAATTTCAATATCTCCAAGGAAGCATCTCAATCTCCTATAGTACCCTTGGAGTGGTCAATGGTACCAAATCTGTAATAGGAATGAGTGATGAAAAACAACTTGCCACCACTGGGGGTTGAACTAGCAACCACTTTACCGCTAGACTAAAGAGAAAATCCCATTAGCCAAGGCGACCTGTACTCTCGACTTCTACAGCTGAATGTGACTTCACTTCTAATTATCAGTATAGTAACAGTATTCCAACTGATTCTGTTAAAATGTTTATCATTGAAGGTAAAGTATTTATGACAATATCTCAAATGGCTTTGTATTTCGACTTAATTTCAGAAACAAGTTGATTATTTTTCGCTGTCAAACTTTCACAGGTGTTTTCTATTGTCTTGTTTATTTACAGGAGAGCAAGATGAGTCTGGATTGTATAGCACGTCATAACTATGAAGACAACGCCAAATGTGAGCCAGAGTTTCAAAACTACAGAAATTGCAAGAAGTTTTGGGTAAGATTTCTGATTCAATGAGTCTGTTTCTGTTACAGTAAGCACAAAATTATTTTGAAGTTGAAGAACAAGATTGGGGACTTAAACAAGATTACAAGACAAATATCTTGACTTGTATCTCAGTATATTTTAAGCTCTCTTGCCCTAACGGCATGTGGTCATATGATGTGACGCAAAGTATATCATCCTGTGTCCATCATCCATAGTCAACTTTTCCTTTAAACAACTCCATCTCAAGAGCCACATCATGGATTTTGACCAAATTTGGTCTAATACACCTCTATAGGATAGGAGTTCTAAATTGTCAAAGAGAAATTGATAGGCCCTCTGACGGCTTAAGAGCAAAGTCTGTGATGGGAAAGTAGGTTTAAACAGTTTCCTCTTACCAGTACATTTTAATTCATTTGAATAGTGGTATGGTTCAGAAAATACACATGTACTTGATGCTGTTCGAGAATTATCTGATGTATGAAAATAACGAAATTTGTTTAATTATGGACCTGATGCACCTTCCAGTCTTGATTTTAACTTTTCTTTTGATCTCTGGATTTTCCTTAGATGCCTTCTAGGCTTCAAAATTTAGGACTTGAACATCACTGAAGAGTCGCAGAAGGACGAAACTGACATATAATGCAGTTTAATTCATTGCTTGACACTACTATATGTTACTCTAAATTAGGAAAAGGTGCCATTCTCTTGTGTGTCTTTGGTAAAATTTTCTTGAAACGAATTCACAGCTTTGATTCATTTTATCATATTGTTAAATCAGGCCCATTGTTCTGGGTCAGTATATGTTGTCAAGCCCAGGAGTCAGGATTTCAGCTTATGGACAAAGGGAGACAACTCATTCTGTAAATAATTAATACTATTTATTAAGACCTGCATGTGCTTATTACTGAGAGTGGTATGTGTTTTAAGTATTCATGATATATACAAAAATCATTCACATAATACAAATTCTCTTTTTAATCTTACTTAAGAGCAATAACAATTTTCATTTACCGTTATTTTGTGTTAATCACAAAAATCTGTCAATGTACAATATGAAACCTGTAATCTGAAATGCCAAACCTGTACAGAATTTTCTTACTTCTTCACATTAGATTCACATGAGAACTAAGAGAGTTTCACATTAGAAGTGTATGGAAATGAGATATTTCTCATGTGGAGAGGTTAGATCACTCTAGAATGAGTTTATAAACTGGACAATCTAAGTTAGAAATGGCTTCTCATGTAGTCTGTCCTCATTTCTGAGCGAGATTTGGATAGAAAACCTTTGATGCATTGTATATATCTACAAAAATTGGCAAAGTCCACACTTATTTTGTTATTGTATCTGATCTTGGGCAGGATCTAGTAGTTTAAGGTTTTACACAAGGAGTCATCCTATACGGCTACAGCCATTTGTACAAGACAGGGCACTAGGTCAGTACGTTTTCTGTAAAGATTCTCACTCTGACCAGTATTGCACTGCTAGTTCTTTACCCCTAGTTTAACAAACAGTACAACACTAGTACTGGACCTCTAGTTTAACAGACAGTACAACACTAGTACTGGACCTCTAGTTCAACAGACAGTACAACACTAGTACTAACAGACAGTACAACACTAGTACTGGACCTCTAGTTTGACAGACAGTACAACACTAGTACTGGACCTCTAGTTTAACAGACAGTACAACACTAGTTCTTGACCTGTAGTTTAACAGACAGTACAACACTAGTACTGGACCTCTAGTTTAACAGACAGTACAACACTAGTTCTTGACCTCTAGTTTAACAGACAGTACAACACTAGTACTGGACCTCTAGTTTGACAGACAGTACAACACTAGTACTGGACCTCTAGTTTAACAGACAGTACAACACTAGTACTGGACCTCTAGTTTAACAGACAGTACAACACTAGTACTGGACCTCTAGTTTAACAGACAGTACAACACTAGTACTGGACCTCTAGTTTAACAGACAGTACAACACTAGTACTGTTTAACACCAGTACAACACTAGTTTGGACCTCTAGTTTAACAGACAGTACAACACTAGTACTGGACCTCTAGTTTAACAGACAGTACAACACTAGTACTGGACCTCTAGTTTAACAGACAGTACAACACTAGTACTGGACCTCTAGTTTAACAGACAGTACAACACTAGTACTGGACCTCTAGTTTAACAGACAGTACAACACTACAACACTAGTACTGGACCTCTAGTTTAACACACAGTACAACACTAGTACTGGACCTCTAGTTTAACAGACAGTACAACACTAGGTTTTGACCTCTAGTTTGACAGACAGTACAGCACTAGTACTAACAGACAGTACAACACTAGTACTGGACCTCTAGTTTAACAGACAGTACAACACTAGTACTGGACCTCTAGTTTAACAGACAGTACAACACTAGTACTGGACCTCTAGTTTAACAGACAGTACAACACTAGTACTGGACCTCTAGTTTAACAGACAGTACAACACTAGTACTGGACCTCTAGTTTAACAGACAGTACAACACTAGTACTGGACCTCTAGTTTAACAGACAGTACAACACTAGTACTGGACCTCTAGTTTAACAGACAGTACAACACTAGTACTGGACCTCTAGTTTAACAGACAGTACAACACTAGTACTGGACCTCTAGTTTAACAGACAGTACAACACTAGTACTGGACCTCTAGTTTAACAGACAGTACAACACTAGTACTGGACCTCTAGTTTAACAGACAGTACAACACTAGTACTGGACCTCTAGTTTAACAGACAGTACAACACTAGTACTGGACCTCTAGTTTAACAGACAGTACAACACTAGTACTGGACCTCTAGTTTAACAGACAGTACAACACTAGTACTGGACCTCTAGTTTAACAGACAGTACAACACTAGTACTGGACCTCTAGTTTAACAGACAGTACAACACTAGTACTGGACCTCTAGTTTAACAGACAGTACAACACTAGTACTAACAGACAGTACAACACTAGTACTAACAGACAGTACAACACTAGTACTAACAGACAGTACAACACTAGTACTGGACCTCTAGTTTAACAGACAGTACAACACTAGTACTGGACCTCTAGTTTAACAGACAGTACAACACTAGTACTGGACCTCTAGTTTAACAGACAGTACAACACTAGTACTGGACCTCTAGTTTAACAGACAGTACAACACTAGTACTGGACTAGTACACAGTACTAACAGACAGTACAACACTAGTACTGGACCTCTAGTTTAACAGACAGTACAACACTAGTACTGGACCTCTAGTTTAACAGACAGTACAACACTAGTACTAACAGACAGTACAACACTAGTACTGGACCTCTAGTTTAACAGACAGTACAACACTAGTACTGGACCTCTAGTTTAACAGACAGTACAACACTAGTACTGGACCTCTAGTTTAACAGACAGTACAACACTAGTACTGGACCTCTAGTTTAACAGACAGTACAACACTAGTACTAACAGACAGTACAACACTAGTACTGGACCTCTAGTTTAACAGACAGTACAACACTAGTACTGGACCTCTAGTTTAACAGACAGTACAACACTAGTACTGGACCTCTAGTTTAACAGACAGTACAACACTAGTACTGGACCTCTAGTTTAACAGACAGTACAACACTAGTACTGGACCTCTAGTTTAACAGACAGTACAACACTAGTACTGGACCTCTAGTTTAACAGACAGTACAACACTAGTACTGGACCTCTAGTTTAACAGACAGTACAACACTAGTACTGGACCTCTAGTTTAACAGACAGTACAACACTAGTACTGGACCTCTAGTTTAACAGACAGTACAACACTAGTACTGGACCTCTAGTTTGACAGACAGTACAACACTAGTACTGGACCTCTAGTTTAACAGACAGTACAACACTAGTACTGGACCTCTAGTTTAACAGACAGTACAACACTAGCACTGGACCTCTAGTTTAACAGACAGTACAACACTAGTACTGGACCTCTAGTTTAACAGACAGTACAACACTAGTACTGGACCTCTAGTTTAACAGACAGTACAACACTAGTACTGGACCTCTAGTTTAACAGACAGTACAACACTAGTACTGGACCTCTAGTTTAACAGACAGTACAACACTAGTACTGGACCTCTAGTTTAACAGACAGTACAACACTAGTACTGGACCTCTAGTTTAACAGACAGTACAACACTAGTACTGGACCTCTAGTTTAACAGACAGTACAACACTAGTACTGGACCTCTAGTTTAACAGACAGTACAACACTAGTACTGGACCTCTAGTACAACAGACAGTACAACACTAGTTCTGGACCTCTAGTTTAACAGACAGTACAACACTAGTACTGGACCTCTAGTTTAACAGACAGTACAACACTAGTACTGGACCTCTAGTTTAACAGACAGTACAACACTAGTACTGGACCTCTAGTTTAACAGACAGTACAACACTAGTTCTTGACCTGTAGTTTAACAGACAGTACAACACTAGTACTGGACCTCTAGTTTAACAGACAGTACAACACTAGTACTGGACCTCTAGTTTAACAGACAGTACAACACTAGTACTGGACCTCTAGTTTAACAGACAGTACAACACTAGTTCTTGACCTCTAGTTTAACAGACAGTACAACACTAGTACTGGACCTCTAGTTTAACAGACAGTACAACACTAGTACTGGACCTCTAGTTTAACAGACAGTACAACACTAGCACTGGACCTCTAGTTTGACAGACAGTACAACACTAGCACTGGACCTCTAGTTTAACAGACAGTACAACACTAGTTCTTGACCTCTAGTTTAACAGTTCTTTAACCTCTTAGCTTTTGTATTTTCTTCTCTTTATTTTTTTGCTTTGTTGTTAATTTTTAGACACAAGTCCAGTGGCGACGTTTCTTTCGAGGACAAAGACCTACACTTCCACTTCCAGAAGACAGAGAACAAGCTAAAAAGGACAATGCTGATATTATGGAAAAAATCCTTGCTTCTAGTCCTAAATACAAACTAAGTGAGGAATCTAGTGAACCGCTCGTCTTCAGATATAAAGATCCAGACATGAAATAAAATGGAATAATGTGATGTGAACAGACAAAGAAAGTTTTCTTCAGAAATCGTTTTTTATATCAAATTGCTGTGACATTGTACATAAAAATTTTGTGATAATAATGATAATAAAAAAAAAATCTCAATCATATGGATGTCTTTAACTTTTTATAAACATATGGTAGTATATAGGTAGGTATTGTGAGGTACATGTAGTATATAGGTAGGTATTGTGAGGTGTGTATGGTACATGTAGTATATAGGTAGGTATTGTGAGGTGTGTATGGTACATGTAGTATATAGGTAGGTATTGTGAGGTACATGTAGTATATAGGTAGGTATTGTGAGGTGTGTATGGTACATGTAGTATATAGGTAGGTATTGTGAGGTACATGTAGTAAATAGGTAGGTATTGTGAGGTGTGTATGGTACATGTAGTATATAGGTAGGTATTTTGAGGTGTGTATGGTACATGTAGTATATAGGTAGGTATTGTGAGGTGTGTATGGTACATGTAGTATATAGGTAGGTATTGTGAGGTGTGTATGGTACATGTAGTATATAGGTAGGTATTGTGAGGTACATGTAGTATATAGGTAGGTATTGTGAGGTGTGTATGGTACATGTAGTATATAGGTAGGTATTGTGAGGTACATGTAGTAAATAGGTAGGTATTGTGAGGTGTGTATGGTACATGTAGTATATAGGTAGGTATTGTGAGGTGTGTATGGTACATGTAGTATATAGGTAGGTATTGTGAGGTATGTATGGTAGATGTATGATATAGGTAGGTATTGTAAGGTGTGTATGGTACATGTAGTATATAGGTAGGTATTGTGAGGTACATGTAGTATATAGGTAGGTATTGTGAGGTGTGTATGGTACATGTAGTATATAGGTAGGTATTTTGAGGTACATGTAGTATATAGGTAGGTATTGTGAGGTACATGTAGTATATAGGTAGGTATTGTGAGGTACATGTAGTATATAGGTAGGTATTGTGAGGTGTGTATGGAACATGTAGTATATAGGTAGGTATTGTGAGGTGTGTATGGTACATGTAGTATATAGGTAGGTATTGTGAGGTACATGTAGTATATAGGTAGGTATTGTAAGGTGTAGTATATAGGTAGGTATTGTGAGGTACCTGTAGTATATAGGTAGGTATTGTGAGGTACATGTAGTATATAGGTAGGTATTGTGAGGTACATGTAGTATATAGGTAGGTATTGTGAGGTGTGTATGGTACATGTAGTATATAGGTAGGTATTGTGAGGTGTGTATGGTACATGTAGTATATAGGTAGGTATTGTGAGGTGTGTATGGTACATGTAGTATATAGGTAGGTATTGTCAGGTGTGTATGTTACATGTAGTATATAGGTAGGTATTGTGAGGTGTGTATGGTACATGTAGTATATAGGTAGGTATTGTGAGGTACATGTAGTATATAGGTAGGTATTGTGAGGTGTGTATGGTACATGTAGTATATAGGTAGGTATTGTGAGGTGTGTATGGTACATGTAGTATATAGGTAGGTATTGTGAGGTACATGTAGTATATAGGTAGGTATTGTGAGGTACATGTAGTATATAGGTAGGTATTGTGAGGTACATGTAGTATATAGGTAGGTATTGTGAGGTACATGTAGTATATAGGTAGGTATTGTGAGGTAGTATATGTAGTATATAGTATATAGGTAGGTATTGTGAGGTGTGTATGGTACATGTAGTATATAGGTAGGTATTGTGAGGTGTGTATGGTACATGTAGTATATAGGTAGGTATTGTGAGGTATGTATGGTACATGTATGATATAGGTAGGTATTGTAAGGTGTGTATGGTACAATTAGTATATAGGTAGGTATTGTGAGGTACATGTAGTATATAGGTAGGTATTAGTATAGAGGTATTGTGAGGTACATGTAGTATATAGGTAGGTATTGTGACGTACATCTAATATATAGGTAGGTATTGTGAGGTGTGTATGGTACATGTAGTATATAGGTAGGTATTGTGAGGTATGTATGGTACATGTAGTATATAGGTAGGTATTGTGAGTGTGTATGGTACATGTAGTATATAGGTAGGTATTGTGAGGTGTGTATGGTACATGTAGTATATAGGTAGGTATTGTGAGGTGTGTATGGTACATGTAGTATATAGGTAGGTATTGTGAGGTGTGTATATAGGTACATGTGTATATAGGTAGGTACATGTAGTATATAGGTAGGTATTGTGAGGTACATGTAGTATATAGTGTGTATGGTACATGTAGTATATAGGTAGGTATTGTGAGGTGTGTATGGTACATGTATATATAGGTAGGTATTGTGAGGTATATAGGTAGGTGTGAGGTATATAGGTACATGTAGTATATAGGTAGGTATTGTGAGGTGTGTATGGTACATGTAGTATATAGGTAGGTATTGTGAGGTGTGTATGGTACATGTAGTATATAGGTAGGTATTGTGAGGTGTGTATGGTACATGTATATAGTATATAGGTAGGTATTGTGAGGTGTGTAGTATATAGGTAGGTATTGTGAGGTGTGTATGGTACACGTAGTATATAGGTAGGTATTGTCAGGTGTGTATGTTACATGTAGTATATAGGTAGGTATTGTGAGGTGTGTATGGTACATGTAGTATATAGGTAGGTATTGTGAGGTATGGTACATGTAGTATATATATAGGTAGGTATTGTGAGGTACATGTAGTATATAGGTAGGTATTGTGAGGTGTGTATGTAGGTAGGTATTGTGAGGTGTGTATGGTACATGTAGTATATAGGTAGGTATTGTGAGGTACATGTAGTATATAGGTGTGTATGGTACATGTAGTATATAGGTAGGTATTGTGAGGTACATGTAGTATATAGGTAGGTATATTGTGTATATAGGTACATGTAGTATATAGGTAGGTATTGTGAGGTGTGTATGGTACATGTAGTATATAGGTAGGTATTGTGAGGTACATGTAGTATATAGGTAGGTATTGTGAGGTACATGTAGTATATAGGTAGGTATTGTGAGGTGTGTATGGTACATGTAGTATATAGGTAGGTATTGTGAGTATATAGTACATGTAGTATATAGGTAGGTATTGTGAGGTACATGTAGTATATAGGTAGGTATGTAGGTATATATATAGGTAGGTATGGTACATGTAGTATATATAGGTATTGTGAGGTGTGTATATAGTATATAGGTAGGTATTGTGTGTGTAGGTACATGTAGTATATAGGTAGGTATTGTAGTATATAGTATATAGTAGGTATTGTGAGGTACATGTAGTATATAGGTAGGTATTGTGAGGTATATATAGGTAGGTATTGTGAGGTACATGTTGTATATAGGTAGTATATAGGTAGGTATTGTGAGGTACATGTAGTATATAGGTAGGTATTGTGAGGTACATGTAGTATATAGGTAGGTATTGTGAGGTGTGTATGGTACATGTAGTATATAGGTAGGTATTGTGAGGTACATGTAGTATATAGGTAGGTATTGTGAGGTACCTGTAGTATATAGGTAGGTATTGTGAGGTACATGTAGTATATAGGTAGGTATTGTGAGGTACATGTAGTATATAGGTAGGTATTGGTATTGTGAGGTGTGTATGGTACATGTAGTATATAGGTAGGTATTGTGAGGTATGTATGGTACATGTAGTATATAAGTAGGTATTGTGAGTGTGTATGGAGTATATAGGTAGGTATTGTGAGGTACCTGTAGTATATAGGTAGGTATTGTGAGGTACATGTAGTATATAGGTAGGTATTGTGAGGTACATGTAGTATATAGGTAGGTATTGTGAGGTACATGTAGTATATAGGTAGGTATTGTGAGGTATGTATGGTACATGTAGGTAGATATTGATCCACCAATTTGATCACCTGGGAATATTCTAATATAGTGTTACTGACTCTGAATAATTTTCATCTGTGTTGGAGAATATGTTTCAGATGCAATAATCTCACATAAATTGAACACGTATTTCGTCTTCTATAAAACACTCCAAAAAAAGGAGCAGGTGCGTAGGGACGGGGATTTAAGGCGTCGTACACAATACACATCGTTCATGAATAATTCAGTGTTGGTTACCTGTTAAAATGCAGTGGTTGATGTTATTTACTTTACATATTACACGACAATCAACACAGCTGAATCGTGTCTGTTATTGATGTATTGATTGTGGGAAACGTCTCATCAATCCAGATATCAAATTTCGCCGAGATTGATGTGATACTCCGTTCGATAAGAAAGAATCCTGCTACATGTACCTTATGTAACATTCTCCACAGTAAGTGATATTTACAAACACTGTAAAACCTCTGTCAGCTGGGATAGATAAGTGATATTTACAAACACTGTAAAACCTCTGTCAGCTAAGATCGATAAGTGATATTTACCAGCATTGTAAAACCTCTGTCAGCTGGGATAGATAAGTGATATTTACAAACACTGTAAAACCTCTGTCAGCTGGGATCGATCAGTGATATTTACAAACACTGTAAAACCTCTGTCAGCTGAGATCGATCAGTGATATTTACAAACACTGTAAAACCTCTGTCAGCTGGGATAGATAAGTGATATTTACAAACACTGTAAAACCTCTGTCAGCTAGGATAGATAAGTGATATTTACAAACACTGTAAAACCTCTGTCAGCTGAGATCGATCAGTGATATTTACAAACACTGTAAAACCTCTGTCAGCTGGGATAGATAAGTGATATTTACAAACACTGTAAAACCTCTGTCAGCTGAGATCGATCAGTGATATTTACAAACACTGTAAAACCTCTGTCAGCTGAGATCGATCAGTGATATTTACAAACACTGTAAAACCTCTGTCAGCTGAGATCGATCAGTGATATTTACAAACACTGTAAAACCTCTGTCAGCTAGGATAGATAAGTGATATTTACAAACACTGTAAAACCTCTGTCAGCTGAGATAGATAAGTGATATTTACAAACACTGTAAAACCTCTGTCAGCTAGGATAGATAAGTGATATTTACAAACACTGTAAAACCTCTGTCAGCTGGGATAGATAAGTGATATTTACAAACACTGTAAAACCTCTGTCAGCTGAGATAGATCAGTGATATTTACAAACACTGTAAAACCTCTGTCAGCTGAGATCGATA